AGTTTCAGTGAGAAGCCATGACCAGTGGAGTTTAACCGGGTCTGTTGTGAAATAGTAACTCACTGATGACAATGATGAACGATGGCACAACTTCGTGGATTGGTTGAAGTTAGATATTAACACCGTTGGATGGTGGCCAGCTCAGTAGTCTAGAGGTTAAGCGCTCGCATGCGAAAGTGATAGGTCGTGGGCTCGAATCTCGCGAGGTGGGATTGTGGATGCACACTGCTGAGGAGTCTTACAGTATGATGAAGCGGCCGTTCAGTGCTTCCAGGTTTTCCATAGTGATCTAGATCCAATTGAATCATGAATTCAACTGTTAAGTTATAGTCTAGGCAATCGTCAGTCCACATGACATTTTCTATATATTTCCTTATAAAGCAAAAAGTAGCTCATCAGGAGGTGTTACGTTTAGGACAATTAAAATTATTACTACAACTACTGCTAAAACATAAAGTTTTACAACGAACAGAATGTATTTCGTTTCCTTTATTTTCCATAGTGCCCTAAGTAAAATTCCATTATAGACATCTTTAAATGTTATATATATAGGACTACTCACAAATGCTTAGTTTCTAGACCACTAGGTCGGCATTCGACAGTATTAACCTTAACTGCAATCGATGCACGATCTTGCGCAACCATTCGTCCATTGTCTGAGGTAGATACCTGTCTCTATCCGACACGAATGGAACTCCATTGGTCACGGCGTCTCAATAGAACTCCATAAACTCCATCATGAAACCAATCACTAGTGAGAACATGAATATTATTATAATCGGGGTTTGTCCTAGGGGCTGGATTCGGGTCCCGCATGCGGGATCATAGATAAGCAATGTTTAGGAGTCCCATGCTAGAACGAATCGGCTGTCCAGTGCTTCCAGGTATTAAATGGTAGTCCAGCCTAGATCGACTTATGAATTCAACTATTAAAACCACTTTAATCTCCACAAACCGTCATTTTAACATATCTATATACCACCATATATAACAAAACGTAATCGATTATACGGTTAAATCAATATTACTATTACTTTATCTAGGATTTGTAATTTTAATGCGAAATAAATAGAAATATATCCTCAGAAAAATTAAAATGAGTACACTTGAATAATAGCATAGTGGTGATTTAGTTACAAATGTTATGTTCATGAAGACGTAAACAATCAGCACACAAAGATATTCACTACAGCTTCGCGCATTGCTTTTTTATATTTTCTTGTTTATATAAAATAAAAGTACCAGTAACTTAACTGTTGTTAGGATATGACATGAAGCCACTGAGTATTATATCCTTTTTTCACCCCAACTTGAAGTGTTGTGACGTACTACTAAATACTAGATTATCTTTCACTAAACAATGAACGTTACGTCTTACATTTTCAGTCAGTTGCATGAACATTAAAAAGTGTGTCGATGAAGGCTCTTTCAAATTCATTATTAAAATGTTTGAGAACAGGAAATTTACTCAGGATTATAGACGGAACGATGGTTCTGGTGGTGTGGTGTTTTCTGAGTTGAGGAATTTCATGAAGAACTCTTCATCAGAAATCTGTACAATAACATTAGCGAAAAGTTTTATTTAGGCGCAACAGTTTACAGAACAAATAACCGAATAAGAGTTATCTCAGAAAGTTAATAATGATCTTTATAGCACATACAGACACGCATAATAGATAGATAGTTTTTCCATGAAATACCGATATTTTCCTAACTCAACAATGAAGAGGGACAATTTATTTCAGTGTCTAAACTATCACTGCATACAAAACGTTTCAGAAATTCATATATTTGAACTTTTCATGATTAACCTTGGAGACATTTTTCTTTAGGTTGATTGATATACTAAACGAAAATGTGTCGCTGACATGCTGTCATCAATCAACTTAACTTTCATCGAAATTCACATTAAAAACATGTTTCTTATGACGGATATTCGATTATAATAGTTTGCTTATTCGTAATATTATGTATACAATTTATCTGATAGTAGAAATACTTATCAACATCAAACATTGTATGTTATTATTTTCTGTATTTTTAGTTTCTTTTTTCCATTTAATGGACGATAAAATATTTTCATGATGTATGAATTTCACTGTGTAATTCAAGTTTCTTTTTTTTTCAGAATTTAACTTTGAAAAAATTAATTACGCATTGCACGCATATTCTGTTTTTATTTTCGATGATTTCGAGATTATTAAATGACACAGATTGATGGTTTAATGTATGGTTTTTAAGCAGAACTAGTTTTATGTTTACAACTATTGAAACTGTCAGTATTTCAGAAAGATCAATAAAATGGATATTGTTAAGTAAATTAGGATCATTCTCCCCTTGAACTGATTTTGCAATAACTAATTGTATTTAAATGAAAAAGGATGAATTTATGAATATTTTTGTTCCTATGAAAAACAATTATAAAGTAAACTTAGTAAAAGTAATAAATGACTTTTTTAAAATTAATTGATAGCTTTTAATGGTTTCGAATTATAGTTTAGAGAGATACTATAGGAAATAATAAATGTGGAGAATAAATTGGAGAATAAACAGTACATCAGTTACGGATGTTGCTCTTCATTGAGAGATACCTTATAAATAGGATTCGAATGAACATAGAATACCAGTTCTATTTATTGCTTCATGAATCTATTCTTTTTTTTTTTCAGATAGATTGTGATCTATTTAATATCAAGGACTATGCATAACGACTGCTAATCAAGTATAGTTACCACAAATTTATTTTTTAGATCTACTAAGATATTAGAATATCAGTGTATTTATTAGTATTACAGGAAGTAAGTAGATAACCATGTGGTATATTTACATATGCTGACAGATATAAATTAATCATTAATATCGAGTTCCATGGTTTTACATTAATATTATTCCGGGTTTCTCTTCAAAAAGGTTTTCCCCCATTTTATCTATTGATAAATGTTATAACATTTTAGGGTTTACCAAATAAGTAACTGTGAAGGATATTTTCGTATTTTTTTCTTTTTTTCGTTAATTAAACTCGGTACTTATATAAAATTCAAAGACATGATTCGTCGGAGACTTGAAATACTACCACTACTATCACTACTACTACTACTACTACTACTACTACTGAAACATACATTAATGTAAATGTTAACTGTTTATCTGATAAATTATTTACTCATTTCTGGATGGTCCTAGAGATATTTTCTTTTCCACAAGCAGTTATCTTAATGAATCTCAAATTTTCTTATTAAATTTAAATGAAACTAATAAAATCTTATGGTTCTTTCTCTCTCTTTGTGTTGAACGTTGTTTAACATAAAAATTAGACAAATGAAATAGGTAAAAGAAAATCCTTTTAACAACATAGATATGAAAAATACACTATTAGCTCAGCACCATATATGAACATTTAAATGATTTTCCTATCAATCAAATTTTGGCAATAAATGAACTGGATACAAAATATGACATCAATTTAATTTATAATAAAACCACTGTTCAAATCATATATGTTTATTTATTCAGTCTACAGTTATGCATGAAAATGTCAGGTTCCTTTAAATTTTATCTGCAAGCTCGTAAATTTTCTAATCACTTTAAAAACGTTCCTACATACAGTTTCAGTTAGATACTTTATATAACGAATTCGTTCGGAAATTATGCATGGACATATCATTTTCTTCTGTAGATTTGCTTCGATTTTTGAAGTTCACTGATTAGCAGTCTACCTTTTCAAAGGTTTTCATATCTAAAGCCTCTTTATGCCTGAGTTGAATTTATCTAACAATGTAAATCAACTAAAAATTGTTGATCGAACCAGCAATTTGGTGATATTTGTCTCACATCTTAGTCTACTCAAAATTAATAAGTAGTTACACTCTAAAATTGTTTATATAGTGTATTTACAAGAAATTAGTGATTCACTGTAATCAGATATATCATTCATTCAGTACAAAAGAAAGTTATAGATAATTAATGTACGTCTTTTTACCGTTTTTAAACTTGTTTAGTCGCATCTGCAAGTGAACTATTAAAATAAGGGAAAACAATAAAAAAATTATAATAATCATATTATTTGCTGAAATATATCTGCAATACATCAGCATTAAGTTAACGTATTACTATTAGGTTATTCCTCCGATTATCTGAGTCAACGAGTATATGAAATATACGTATCCCAAATTCATTCTCGTATTTAGCTTATTTTATTCCGTTATTCGTTAACATGAATTAAGTTGATAACTATATCCGAGGGTAGCAAAGACGTATATTTTATTAACATCATCATATAATTGCAGTCAACCTAAAATACAAGTTCCACAAATATTTCTAACTGTATCTATCACCTATTTAAAAACGTAGTGAAATTATTTATAGGTCACTAGGAACATATATCAGAAAAAGAATGTGAATTAACGAACTAAAAAATTTCTATCTTACCCTACTTATTAATAATCTCCAATAAAATGCTTGCTTCATAATTCAACTATATTAAATTCTCGTTGTGAGTGGATATAAAATGACCGAAACATATTTACTGCCTAGTTCTTGTTTAAATGTTATTGATATTTTTATTCAAATTGTATCTCCAGAAGTTATCACCATATTCATTTCGCTCTCAACAAGGCCTACATAAACGCTACTTAGTCATTAATTTTCACAGGTCTCTTCGTTTTGATTGCAAATATCAATGAATGCAGAACTAAATTTGCTGTATTTAATTCACTGATCCGATAGTAAATTGTCTGTTTCCGATGTATATTCTATTGAGTTTGTTCTAGTTCGCAATATTACATTTATATACACCTGACGATCTTTAGTCTACCAAAGAGATTTTTAGTACTTTATTGTCTACCTCTAATTCTCAATTTTGTGTGGTTCAGTTATTATATCCTCAAATGTTTTGGGTATTGGTACTAACTTGAAATGCCTCAGTTATACTATACTATCATTAGATTTGTATTTGATGTTCTCTTTAAAACAAAATTGTTCTTTTTTGTCCTCATTTTCAGTGTTGGTTAGATCACAACAAAACGATTATGCGGCAATATTCCACAAAACGAGATTTTATTTACCGATTTAGTGTTAAATTTTATACTCCTCATCCTAATTTACTCGAAGAAGCTTACACAAGGTTAGTTATAAAAGTATAATGACTGTTAAATAATGTTGAGATGATTTTCATGTCGAAAAAACCTTTTACTGAGTGTTAATTTAACAGAGAAAGCTTTTTATAATTATGTAATCAGAAGGGGTTTTGTGGAGATTTTAGAGATTTCACTGATTGAAATCATGAGTCAATTGAAGCTATACCACCATGCAAAGCCTGGAAGCACTGGACGGCCGTTTCGTCACAGTATGGGACTCCTCAGCAGTGCACATCTACGATCCCGCACCCCTCGAGATTCGAACCCAATGCCTATCAGACTCGCACTAGGCGCTTAACCAACTAGACCACTGAGCCAGTATCCAACGTCCAGTGCTTCTAGGTTTTCCATGGTGGTCTAGCTTCAATTGACTCATGATTTCAATCAGTGAAATTATGTAATCACTTGAAAAAGTTGACCGTTTGAACCATAGGTTAGAGAAAGTTTTAAAAAGAATATCATTTTCGTACTTTATTGTTGACTAATAACTTATGCAAATAGATTTGATAATAACATTCATGATGAAGTCTATATTAAGTTTCTTACTAACAGAATCAGGAGTATTAAACAGATTTGTTAAACAAATATATAATTGTAATTGGCAAGTTTATTGACTGTTCTTCCTAGTCGTGTGAATAGTTATAGGTTTTTGGTTGAAGTTTACACAATTGCTCAAACACTCGTTTTTGTCCTATCTACCTTATTGACAAGTTTCATTGATTAAAACATTTAAAATGTGTAAACTATAAATGCATTAGACGGAACTCTAGTAGCTCTCAATTTAATACCAAAACCAAATTTTCCAGTTAATGACTAAACTAAAACCTTTATCCGAGTTTAAATCCATTTCATAACGGCGGAGTGTAATCGAAAATTATTTATTTTGAAGAATAAAGTTCACGTAAAAATATTTATAAATTGAATTTGATTCTACAATTTAATTTTTCAATACTCTCTTGTTCCTTCAATGATTTTGTTCGATTGTTTGTTATTTTCCTCTCAATAATAATTTCAGATACTTGTTTGCATTACAAATAAAACGTGATCTGGTTACCGGTACTTTATTGTGCAGTGAGAACACAACTGCTCTGCTTGCTTCATACATTGTACAAGGTAAAATAGCGGTAGTGATAACCTTAACAATAAAAGTGTTAGTATTAAAATATTATTTTGAGTAGACTGGTATCGCCTCACAGTTGTTATTCTTATTTTGCTGTTAAATTCCTCATGTCAACGAAGGTCAATTCACCTTACTTTAGAGTAAAATTTGTGACGTTCATTCTGATTGTCACCCTAATTAAAATTAAATCACTTTCGGAAACAATATTTATTTCTATCAATACACTTCTATCACAGTATATTCGCGTTCATATGACAGTAAAAGTGAATCGTCAAATTAATAAGCATTTACATAAACTACGTTACTAAGTTTCAGGATGTTTGGAAGAAAAATAGATATACACAAAACAACAAAATCACTCCATTCGGGCTACATGCCTGTCAAGTTGTGCACTACAAAATATGGGACATCCTCGATTTGACTATATCATAATGATAGGTTACTGAGCATCTGAGATGAAGATCCAAATAGCCAATCATAAATGTACTGAATCATAAAGTCCTCTTACAGTAACTTAAAAAATAAACCGAAGCTTAATTACACGGGTCAAATCAACCAAAAGCATTTCTTTTGTTTGGTTTAGAAATGTTGTGCGTAGAGTAACACTTCCTTTACGAAAATTATAGCTTATACTCTTCATTGTTCTTGCGCTCTATACAGCGCTACAAATTGTTGCTGTATTACCTATACTGCTTGTTAGTAGTGTAACTATTTTCCTAAAATAAACCAATTTGAGTGTTGAAGTAATGATTACTCATTCGCAATGAAAGAGGTTCATTCAGTGATTTTATAAGTCTATTGATGCACCTGCGGTTGGCATTTTCACCAAATGCTGTGAAACATCCGTATAATTAAAGATAGTTTGGCATGAATTAGATCATACATGTGTTTATAACAAGATGAATTAAGTTTTACATAACAGTACAGCTTTTTATACCGTTGTTTACTTATTATTTAATTTTAAAAAGTATTATAAATTAAAGTGATTTATTGCTTTCTGAAATTATACATCACAAGATAGCTACTGACAATAAAATTAAAACTCATGGATGTTGTATAATAAAGTTCTTATACCTTGGAAGGTCTTGTATGCAATACAGGTGAAACCACTCATTTCTTATTAAAAGGTGATAGTTTTTCCAGACGTTTCTTTCAATCCCCCGTTTTGAATAGTTTATTATGGCATTTGCTTTTCTGTTAGATATAAATGAACCACAGATGCAGTTAAGTATAACCGGAAGTCTTAGGCTTCGTGATTGATTAGTTTGGCGACTTTTATTTCTTGGGTTGACATTCAAACGAGGATCATATCAATTTACTCTAATTTATGTATTGTGTAATCATTTAGTAAGACTGAAGCTTAACTCGTTTGTTTAGTCTTTGATCAATCTTTTAATTAACATAGAAGAGAAAATTTGTCTCGATCCAATTTAAGGCCTTGACATGATAGGTTATCTAGTCCAACCTTAAGGTTAGTAATGCATGAATCGGAACTGTGACAAAACGTCCTTGAGGTAATGAGACGAAAACTATTCTATAAGATGAATCTAGTAAAACACTACTTGATTTATTCTTAATTCAGATTAACGCAGAAAGTTACATGAATAAATAGAAAACTAACAGGATCACAACGCATAATATATATTTATGTCCAAAGTAGGCATTAAGATAGAAAAATGGAGTACAAAATGTTACGTTTAAATTGCAATAATTCTGGAATAAACAAGAATATGGCAATAAATTGTGCGTCAGACAAAAGCTTTTTAATTAGAAAATAAAACAAGGTAAAAATAAATGTTAGTATTTTTGCAGAATTTGAATTAGGCAAAACAGTGTTCCGAACAATAGTTTCCGTTATTCGTAATTGCTTATTTATTTCTCTCTTCACATGATTGTCAAACTCTATTAAATTATTCTGTTTATCTTCAACTTCGTCTCTATAATTAGTACACATTATTATCATTTATTTGCTTAATTATGTAGCTGAGATTGGGGATTTTATTCAAGAAGAATACAGAACAATATCTTATTTGAAATCCTTAAAATTACTTTACGAACCAAATGATGAACGTCTGCGTCGAGTTAGAGAATTCCACAAATCTCATATGTAAGAACTGATTTACTATTGAATATATAATTAGTAGTATCAACCGTTGATTTATAAGTCTGAGTCTATGATTTCATACTACTCATTATATAAGTATTCTTGCAGTTGTTTGATGGTGATTCGCAACACAGAAAATAATAGTTTCAGTTAGTTATTCTGGTAAAAATACAAAAGCTGTTAAGAAATGGAATAAAACCAGACAGTAGCAGCAAAACAATAAATTAATGGAACATTATATATAAATTTGTTTCGAAATAGGTTTTATCGACAAGTTGGATACAGTATGATGAGAAATTATTATTGTCATTACTATTATTATTATTATTATTATTATTCAATAGTAACCTGGTCATCAACTTTACCTTCTCACAGTATATTTGAACTAAATTACTTCCTGCTTTATTGCATTATCTCTTTGTAAATTCTAATACCACAACGAAGTGTGACATATAAGTATTTTTACTCATAACGAAAAGTGTTAGTGATGTTTAGAATTTGGGAACATTCACTGCGTAGTATGATGTTGATTTTGATCTTTTTGCCTCTAAAAGTTGCTTATCATACTAACAGTTTGAATTATAGTTCTTATAGTCTACTTGATCTTTAGTTCGATATTATTTGGAAAGACTTATTTTAACAATTGCAAAAGCGCTTTATTCTAGTGAACGTTAAACTTGACCACTTTCAGTAAATAACCTACATTTATCCTTATTTGTATCTCATTGGCTAGTTTATGCAAGTCAGAACAGTGAAATGTATTTTGATTTTGTTGGGGAAATAAAGCCCAAACTGAACGTCGGGAAGCCTACTTAGCTTTAAAAGATCCCAAATACAATAATATGATATAAATAGAATTGTTTTTTCATCATGTTCATTACTGTAATCGATCTTTTACACCACTTTTAATCGTTTATAATAGTGGATTAACCCCAACAGAAGCAGATTTTGCTTTATTGGATACCGCGAGAAAAATAGAATTCTATGGTGTTCGTTTACATTTTGCACGTGTAAGCTAATTTTATTTATGCACATATATTTTATTTAAAAATGATTTCGTTTCTGTCTGACGTCATATAAAAATTCTGTGAAAGATTACAAAAGAAGGAATACTGTGCTGCCACTCGTTAGTTAAATGATATCTTTCCGACCACAAAATCTGATTGTTACCATATATGAAGTCATGGGTATTTATCATTAATGGGTTCAAAGTGATGGTTTGAAGTAGTTTTACAACTGCTGTAATATTTTCGTCAAATTAAACGAATGCCTTCAAAGTAACCGAAATGTTTAGATTTAAGTGTTATGATATTTCGTTAATGAGGATTTTCAACAGAATCTAGTTTCATGAAAAATAATCGAGCGAAGGAAATGGAATTCTCTCCTTTTTCGCTAGAGAAGGTTCCTCTATCTAACTAATTATATTCGCTAAATTATCTTAGAGATTCGTGAATGCAAAATGAATCGACTGTTATTAAATATGTAATCTAATTTTCCAATCTATGTTACGCGTTCTTTCTCCGTTATATATTCATTGTATGATATTAACTAATCACACTGTAGTGTTTTTAATATTTAGTCTATTTCTACCTACTTTATATCTCTTTTCTTTAACTCCCCTAAATTGTATATCATTAAATTTCAGGATCGTGAAGGCCTAGCCCTCAATCTAGCTGTTACACATCTTGGTTTATTAGTATTTCAAAATTTAATAAAGGTTAATACATTCTCTTGGGCAAAAATAAGAAAACTAAGTTTCAAACGTAAACGATTTCTTGTCAAACTACATCCAGAAAATTATGTAAGTTTTAAAACTCTGAACTACATTCTTTATCAATTTTTGCTATATGTATTTAGTTGTCTTGTCTATTGTTCTATAACTGGAATTTGGCCAAAATAATTGTCATGTGAAACAGCAAAAGTTCAAGAGTGTTAAAAGTCAATAACTGAACAGTTCAACCATCATTTATTTCATATATCATCAAAAAAGGTTTACATTTACCATTTACGATTTTATGGAATTGTAAATACGAAGAACATCAATCATGTGGGTCGAGCGTCTTGTTTTATTGCGTTCAGTTTTGGATAGTAAGGAGTATGTTAGTCTGATCATAGAAAACACATTTGCTGTTTATTATCAGTCATATTACATAGATGTTCAATAATTTAAGAAAACTTTGACTGTAATCGAATGTATTAAGAGAGATTGTAAAATCTTTTAACATGACTAACTAACCTTTAGTGTATAATTAGAATACTGATGTCTTTTATTTACAACGGTCTATGGATAAATTCATTCATTTTATTTAGACAAGTGAGTTTACTTCTTTACAAGAGGAAAAGGCTAAAAATTACTTTAAAATGATAATTTCCTTGAAATTGTTGTCTTGTATATCAGTTTTTGCCAAACGTTATTTCGATGTTTCTATATATAACCCCCTGTCTAATCTTTTTCTCAGACATCAAAGCAGTCAAATTGAGAAAAAAATAAGACATGGACACACATCACAGTAAAGCAAAAGTAATCTGGCATAAATCCATACGTTCCTTAATTTTTTTCCGCATTATTTCATAATATATAATTAATCATCCTAATTTTTTTTCACGCTTCCCTAGTCAAAGTTTGTTAGCTTTAAAGGATGGATTTTGTTAATCCTTACTGAAATAATCCTCTTGTTATGGAATTTTATAGGAAAATAGTAATTTTTAAAGAAAATCTATTCAACTAATTTTAAGTGGGAAAATTATAAGATGTCCTTTACTGGGGTTGTATTTCATCTCCATTACGAAATGACCTTGACACTGAACTGAAAAGTTGTTAACTACTTGAAAATTTTCTCAAATTGTGCTTTTATCAAGTTAAAAATCTTAAAATTACTTACATAATTTCTTTTATGAGTAAATACAGACTGTTATTAAGCAATAAGCATAGAAAATAAATGAATCAAGTAGTATTCGAGTACCAGGCAGGAAACGAATATATGAACTTTAACCTATGAAGATACATAACATGATTCTTCGTTAATGTTTAGCTGAGTGACAGAAGCATAAATAAATAAAACTAAGGGTGAGCTCGAAAATGTCCCTTATATTTAGTTAATAGATTTAGGTGTTATTGTGGCGTTTTAGATTTAGTTAATAATGAAATTTAGCTGTGAAGGAACAAACGTTCTTTTCAGTCTTATAAGAAGGTATATATTAATTCAATCAACCTTTGTTCAAGCTTCATACAGTAGTGAGGTTCGATGACAGAGCATAGTACACGTTTTACGTCGATTTCCACTACGATTATAGAAACAGAATCAAGTGTAGGAATAACTTTTCAAAAAATAGTCAACCAATCGTATCTTCTCTGTCAAAACTATTACCTTATCTAATAGATAGATAAGAACACACTGAAATTGCATGAATATAATCTACAACAATAGTTTAATAAATATTTCCTTTATAGCATTGATTATCAGCCGGAGCTCTAGAAAAAAATGTTTATCGGAGTAGCACACGTTAAAGTGAATTGTCTCGAGTCTTGTACACTTTTGAGATTTTCCAATCAATATTGAATTTTCTAGTTATTAATAGCAGATTTTACTGTTGTAAGCACTCCAAGCCAGGATACTAGATTTTCAGACAGAATGTAATATCTTGAATAACGAAAAATATTTAAATCATGTATGGTCATTAAAATTTTCACATACCATAAGATTGAAACACCCATAATAATTCCACACCATATCATGATTGAATTATTCTAAGACAGTATCATATTTAGATAAAACAATTTTGCTTCACATTGTTTGTTTTTGGTTAAACATTAAATCCTTAAGTAGATTTAATTGATAAAAACCGTTAATTTTCTTCGCTTCATTATGAATAAAATCTATAAATTATTTAGTGGCCAAATCATGTTAATTAAGTCATTTAGTTGTATTTAAATGATTGATGTTCTTTATTAGTATTTTTCGTCTCCATTCTTTATTTAAATCTTTTTGATATTATTCTGCATATTGATCAAACCAATTTGTTAATTACTATTAGACTAATTTACATTCATATACGTTAACAATAGAGAATTAATTGGTTACTTAAACTGTTGAATTAGAAGGGCTTAGAAATGATGATATGAGGGAAAGATACTAAACAGTATAAAATAACGAAATATAAGGATTTATTCTCCCTTTCATATCCATCACGAAGTTTAGGTATGTGGAAACAAAGACCTATTTTAGTTTATAACTGACCGATCAAATGTCGATATATTTTTGATCGAAGATGTAAAGCATATTACTGAAATGGTCTTATACTTCATTATCTGGTTTATTTGAATTCAGAAAAGCTGTATTAAGATTATTTTTGTCTCTTTGTTTAGGTGAATTCGATTCATAGTCTCTAATTTCATATTTAGATATTTTGTGGAGGAGAAGATAAAACTCCTTAATTTTATAGAGATATTGGTTACGGTTATTATAATACTATCCAGCTGCTACACCTAACGAACATTTTGTCTATTGTGGACAAAAAACATTTCCTCGCTTTATTGATTTTAAATCAATCCCTTTGTCGAAAAATTCCATACTCAATGGTATATATATGTATTTATACTTATATACTAATCAAAACTTCAATTCTGTTGTATTCCCTTACACAGCTTTCATTCATGAGATTAGCATTTGATGATAATTCACTGTGGTTTGAATTAATCAGAGTTAAAATCGTCTAAAGTTGTATTTCTAGTTATGCTATTAAACACTTAGTGGTTCCTGTGGTACCTGAATACTTCAAGTACTTTTTCTTGTGATGATTTATTTTCCCGCTAATGAGTAAATCTCATACTACGACCGATTAGTCGATCTGTTTGCTCAAATATCTCAAATGGTTTTTCTGATTCACGTTATTTTATAGGAATAAATAGTATAAGATAATAACTGTGGATTGAAGGCTAAGTAACGTATTTTTACATAAAGCTGTTCCAAATGTTAAAATTTTAAACTAGTTTTTCAAGATTTTTAATTCCTTTTCGAAGCTAATTGTTTAAAAATAAAATCCGTTTAGATGAGGATATTAGGAACTTAAACTATTGTCTAAATTTATTTATAAGAGTTATCCAGTAATCCTATTGTTAATACTCTTGACTGAATTTCGGTCACTTTTAATTTATATATATGCACTACTCAGCAGTTTTAATGAGATGGCCATTTTTTTACAATTTTTATAGAAGGGATAAGTTGTGATTAGCAGTGGGATTCAGGATGCGTATTTTGTCCAATTTGGGTCTCACCACCTGGATTATTCTGCATCTCAGAGTTTATGTCTTAACCGGCATCCAAACTCAGTACTTTCACTTTGTATGCCACCCGTTTTGTGTTATATACTGCCACCGACCAATACTCACAGACGACTTTAAGTAACCAATACGTAGTAAGAACGAAGGAGACTGATACTTTATACTCTACTGTTTGCCCAATACTAACTAGCTCCGAATGCCGAGTAAGAATTCAAGATCAATGAACACCAGTCCGAGATCGTTATTCTATTTCTGACATTCGTTTTTTATCTACGAGCAAACTAGACCGCATCACACCACAAAATAAGGCATAACAATTAAACACGATCAGGCCAAAACGGGTCTGAGAGTAGAAAAGACTGTGAATAACAGATTGGAAATAAACCAAGAATAGTAAATCGTATATTAGTGGATAATAGGTTAATAGAAAGCTTATGATAAAAAGAATGCATGTATATATATAATTTAGTTACCCAATGATTATGCAACAGGAATATGTATATGTAATGACATAGATAAGTCCTGAGAGTTACTGTCCTTTTATTTACCTACGTAGATACCAAGTCCTGAAAGACAAATAGTACAGATTAAGGTAAATTCGTAACCGTTATGCAAAAAGGTGGCTATTTTGACTCATTAGCTGAGTTTATAGGACGTTGGTGTATAAACCAAAAGGGTACCAAGTTCAAACCTCCTGGTGAACATTAACCCTAAGATGCAGTTGAATCCTGGTGCCAAGTACCATAAAGGATTAAATGCATATCCTGGATTCTACTGGTATTATCAGTCCATCCCTTCTACAAAACTACTGTTACCTTTTAGCTACATGTTTCATAAAGTGTAATAACTTCAGGATCGATTGCCAAAAGCTATAAAGCAAAATTTAAATAGTTAACATTGTTAAATATCAGTTAGAGCAAGTCTTGTTATAACTCTATTAGTTAGTCTTTTTGATTGATAACACTGGAAATATAACATAAACAATGTAACAAATTTGGGAACTGCAGTCAAAATGAAGCCGATTATTGTTTTCGACGTTGATTTTTCAACTTTTTCGTTAAATATTTGATGACTCCCGTTTCGTTTAATTACGGTGGGGACTGAGGACTACGTTACACTTCCATAAGTAATAGATCATGGTCCAGCTAGTTCAGATAATATGAATTTCAGTGCATCTCAAATATACTATTTTCTTCATAATTGTACTTAAAGTACTTGTGAAATATTGAATGGACTTGGAAATCAATTATTTTTCACCTGGTAAGTTGGGTGTTCATCTCAGTTAGTAACTCAGTTATTTAATCAGATCAATTTTTTTCCTGGATCTGACCGAGTAGGTTTTATGTTCAAACGTATTGTTTGTTTCGGCAGTCTCTGATTGTGATATTGGTGGTGTATGTCCCAATATCACAGAAAGTATCAACAGTTTCTTTAATACTAAGGATAATTTTTGTTGTTGAGCACCAGTCAATAAGAAACCTAGATTCAGGGTGTCAGCATCTTACCTCTAGTATCAAAATCGATTGCTGTACTTCATTTATTATTGTGGAATCTATAATCATGTTTATTTGTTCAAAATATTCTAATCTCTCGCTTCCTTTTTTATAACATGAAACGAAATACTCTAACAGGACACAATTGAATTTATATTCGATTCGCGTGACGAATGCAAACAGTTCTGGAAAAAATCGATTGAGCATCATACATTTTTCCGATGTACTTATCCTGATCGTAAACTACAAAGACGTTCGCGTTTAACATCAAGTGGGTCCTCATTTCGGTAAGTTAACATGTACTAATACCCTTTATATAAAAATATTGATAAGGAAGAGTTTTACTTTGAATCGAGTTGTAATTTTCATGAAAACTAAAATAAATTCGTTACAGAAAAACTTATTGTTTAATTTGCTCTCTTCATCTAATATTTTACGATATCATTGTTGGTTTAAAAATTTGGATTCAGTCGAGTTTATTTAATTTTAAGTAATTCATGTAATTTTGAGAAGTATCTAAGATTTCTTAATGAAGTTATTTGATTAAAGAAATTCTGAAACTCTAAAGTGTTCCGATTGATTCACCTTTGAAACAAAGCCACATACATAATCCCCTCTTGATATCAAATCCTTTCTATGCTTTTCAATGATTGTGATAGTGAGTATAAACTGATGTAATGATATGTATTTTCTGTTGCTACTCAAGATATGTTGATATTCTACATTTATTTATTGTTTCGCTATTTTGTAATTAAACTACTGGGATAACAGAAGTTTCATGAGTTTTGTTCCATTCTACAAATTTGAATGCATGAAGAGTGATAATATACATTTTAAGCAATATGAAGTCATCAGGATAACAACATTTGTTTGAATGTTTAAAGTTTAAACCTGTGGGAATAGTGAAGTTATAAAAAGCTGTGAAAAATTGATCCAGCACTGTAAACCAGATAGTAAGGTTTGGAAGATTAATACCTTAGGATGTGACATTGGTTAATTAAGTCACCGGTACTTTTCAATCATAAAGGAGGAGGGTTGGGCATGGGGTTAGCGTCCCCATCCCGTAGAAAACTAACTCGCTAAAAAAACGCTAACCAGAAAAAATTATTCAAACCTTTTAAACTCTGCCCTGGGAGTCAGAAGGTCTTCATTTAGAAGAATTATGACGCCTCATGATGAAAGCCGAATTCCTTCGGAAGTTACGAGGCCGATGCCCCTTCTGACAACCAGAGCAACCATTTATTTAGGTACATGGAATGTTCGTACAATGTGGGACACCGGAGAGCCTTCCAAATTGCTGCAGAAATGAGAAGATACAACCTAGAGGTACTTGGGATCAGTGAAACACATTGGACACAAGTTGGACAACAACGACTAACTACAGGAGAGCTCCTGTTATACTCCGGCCATGAAGAAGAAAATGCACCACATACACAAGGAGTTGCATTGATGCTGTCCAAACAAGCGCAAAATGCACTTATAGGATGGGAATCTCATGGACCAAGGATCATCAAAGCCTCGTTCAAAACAAAGAAAGAGGGCATTTCAATGAACATCATCCAATGCTATGCGCCTACCAACGACTACAATGAAGACGCTAAAGATCAATTCTACAATAGGCTGCAGTCAATCGTCGAGAAGTGCCCAACAAAGGACCTGACTATTCTGATGGGAGATTTCAACGCCAAGGTTGGAACGGACAACACTGGATATGAAGACATCATGGGACGACACGGACTGGGAGAAAGAAACGAAAATGGTGAGAGATTTGCAAATCTATGTGCCTTCAATAAGCTGGTCATAGGCGGCACCATATTCCCACATAAACGCATACACAAAACCACATGGACTTCACCGGATCACTCTACACAAAACCAAATCGACCATATTTGCATCAACAAAACGTTCAGGAGGACTATAGAGGACGTGAGAACCAAGAGAGGAGCTGATATAGCATCAGATCATCACTTGCTGGTCGCCAAGATGAAATTGAAACTCAAGAAGCACTGGACAACGGGGCGGACAATATCACAAAAGTTCAATACGGCCTTTCTTCAGGATACTAACAAACTCAACAAATTCAAGATAGTCCTCAGCAACAAGTTCCAGGCCTTTCATGATCTACTCAATGGAGAAGGAACTACTGTGGAGAGCAACTGGAAGGGGATCAAAGAGGCAATCACTTCAACATGTCATGAGGTCCTGGGTCACAAGAAGCACCATCACAAGGAATGGATCACTGTTGATACACTGGATAAGATTCAAGAAAGAAGGAACAAGAAGGCAGCAATCAATACCAGTCGAACAAGAGCAGAAAAAGCCAAGGCACAAGCTGAATACACAGAAGTAAACAAACAAGTGAAGAGGAGCATCAGAACCGACAAACGTAAATATGTGGAAGATTTAGCAACGACGGCGGAAAAGGCTGCAAGAGAAGGAAACATGAGACAATTGTATGACACGACAAAGAAACTCTCTGGAAATCGCCGCAAACCAGAACGACCAGTGAAAAGCAAGGAAGGCGAGGTAATCACCAACATTGAAGAGCAACAAAACAGGTGGGTAGAACACTTCAAAGAACTCTTGAATCGACCAGCTCCACTGAACCCACCCAACATCGAAGCAGCACCCACGGACCTCCCAATCAATGTTGGCCCACCAACAATTGAAGAAATCAGCATGGCCATCAGACAAATCAAGAGTGGCAAAGCAGCAGGACCGGACAACATCCAGCAGAGGCACTAAAAGCAGACGTAGCGGCAACTGCAAGGATACTCCACATTCTCTTCAATAAGATTTGGGATGAGGAACAAGTACCAAAAGACTGGAAAGAAGGACTTCTGATCAAAATACCGAAGAAAGGCGATCTCAGCAACTGTGATAACTACAGGGGCATCACTCTTCTCTCAATACCGGGAAAAGTCTTCAACAGGGTATTGTTAAACAGGATGAAGGACTGCGTAGACGCCCAACTTCGTGACCAACAGGCAGGATTCCGTAAGGATAGATCGTGTACAGACCAAATCGCAACTCTACGGATCATTGTGGAACAATCAATTGAATGGAATTCATCACTCTACATCAACTTCATTGACTACGAAAAGGCATTTGATAGCGTGGACAGAACAACACTATGGAAACTTCTTCGACACTACGGCGTGCCTCAGAAGATAGTCAATATCATACAGAATTCATATGATGGATTAAACTGCAAAATTGTGCATGGAGGACAGTTGACAAAGTCGTTCGAAGTGAAGACCGGTGTCAGGCAAGGTTGCTTACTCTCACCCTTTCTCTTTCTCCTGGTGATCGACTGGATCATGAAGACGTCAACGTCTGAAGGGAAGCACGGGATACAATGGACATCTAGGATGCAGTTGGATGATCTAGACTTCGCAGATGATCTGGCCCTTCTATCCCAAACGCAACAACAGATGCAGGAGAAGACGACAGTGTGGCAGCAGCCTCAGCAGCAGTAGGTCTCAATATACACAAAGGGAAAAGCAGGATTCTCCGATACAACACAGAATGCACCAATCCAATCACAATTGACGGAGAAGATTTGGAAGATGTAAAAACCTTTACATATTTGGGCAGCATCATTGATGAACAGGGTGGATCTGATGCAGATGTGAAGGCGCGGATCGGCAAAGCAAGAGCAGCATATTTACAACTGAGGAACATCTGGAACTCAAAGCAACTGTCAACCAACACCAAGGTCAGGATTTTCAATACAAATGTCAAGACAGTTCTACTGTATGGGGCAGAAACCTGGAGAACTACGAAAGCCATCATCCAGAAAATACAGGTGTTTATTAACAGTTGTCTACGCAAAATACTTCAGATCCGTTGGCCGGACACTATTAGCAACAACGTACTGTGGGAGAGAACAAACCAGATCCCAGCGGAGGAAGAAATCAGGAAGAAGCGCTGGAAGTGGATAGGACACACATTGAGGAAAGCACCCAACTGCGTCACAAGACAAGCCCTCACATGGAATCCTGAAGGTCAAAGGAAAAGAGGAAGACCAAAGAACACATTACGCCGAGAAATGGAGATAGACATGAGAAAAATGAACAAGAATTGGATGGAACTAGAAAAGAAGGCCCAGGACAGAGTGGGTTGGAGAATGCTGGTCAGCGGCCTATGCTCCATTGGGAGTAACAGGCGTAAGTAAGTAAGTAACTTTTCAATCAAAATCCAAAGTTTAATTGTTTATTCTGTAGTCATCACCAGATCATTTCAAAGATTATCTACAAGTTAAACAAAATATCCACAAAAATATGATGAATAATAACTATAACTTCGCTTGTAAATCAGTCCGACAAGAATTATTTGGGGCTTTTTCATCTAGATAGTCAAGTTTGTTCAGAATTTAAAATTAGCTAACTGCTAATATCAGATGACAATCACAGCATATCTCAGATTCACTGAAGCTGTAAATATGAATAAGGGGAAATTAATTCAGACACTTTATGTTATCGAGCTTACGAAGTATTTGAAATTTCTGTGTTCTGTTGCCGGTGACCTTGGTTTAGCATTCTTGAAGACTTTAAAATGCGAATAATTTGATAGTTGATTTTAAGTAAATAAACAGAATTACCCTCTGATTACATTGATGTTTCTACATGGAAACGACAATTTAAAATCTAGAGTTGTATGGTTTTTAAACATATGAAACATACTATGATATAAAATTGATAGAATTTTTGTTTTTACTCACTTTTTTCACTATGAATTGTCAACAAAGTCTAGAATAAAGAGATTGTCTGAATTCTATCATAAAAACCTAGTCTTTAAAAAAAAGTATTTCAAATGGATGATTTACCATTCATTGACTTTCAATATCACTATTTACTTCAATTCACTTCCAATAGTACCTTGCAATCTATTCCTCATTTATTGAGGTCAATTTATATCAAATATTTACCTCATAGTTTTTCTATCCGTTCTATCATTCTATCAAATGAAAAAGTAGAAAAAATCCTCTATCAATTCCGGCCCATCGGAATATTTTGAAAAGTACTATTAAATGCAAAAATGCCTGGATAGAGAATATCCTTTAGCTTTATGTAAAATCGGTAAACAAGCTAATATTGAAAAAAAATGGTTTTATCAGAAATATGTATGGGACATCGTCAGTATATTTTTCTCAAAATTCATTAATGTCAGACCATTTTTTAGCTGACGAAGATCATAAAATCATAATACTATTTCACTTAACCGATTAATTGTAAAAAGATTATTAGATTTTACGAAAACTGTCATTCCTACAAGACTGATCAAATCCGTTGTAAGGGCAAATTAATCTTACTGAAAATGTAACAAGGTTACCAAAATTAATTTGAAATATTTTCAATTATCGTTTATTAATTAAGTAAACATTGAATAATGGTAAGATGGATATGGAAGAGACAAATGAATGATAATTATCCATTTGACGAATTTAAACAAACTTAATGAGACACAAGTATATGTCAAAACAACCTAGAAAATTGTAAAATCAGATGAGGAATTATGATTATAGTAAATGACATGGTTGAAAACAGAATTTTATTTGATCATTTGTTTTTATTTTACATGAAGATAAAATGGGTTTCTTTTGTTATATTCTAAAATGACATACGTTCAAGTGTTTCATAGTTTGTTTTAAAATAGCTGAAATAAAAGACATTTATCAATTATACTTATAAGCACTATAATTTCTGAATAGCATGTCTCCTTTCTAGAATAAAAATACAATCATATTGTATTTGTATGTCTTCAGTGAATAATTAACTGAAATTTCATAATAAGTAGAAAACGTAATTAAATGGAAAATAGAATCTGAGGGTGCTTCAGTTTAGTTGTATGCTTTGTGGAATAAGAGCTTCTTCGCAACAACCTATGATTATAAACTGAAAACATTCATTAAAGGTAGTATGGTTCTATAATTCTGTACTAATTTCAGGTTGACCGAATGACAAGATAGAACTAGTAGTAAGGTTTAATCAATAAAACACTATGAAAATTCATTCTAAGCAAAACAATGAGTTTTTGGTATTTGTTTACCATTTAAAATTGTTTTTTTTAAATAAAATACTCGCAAGTTAATTAACTAAGATTAATTTTGTTAATTCTTTTGGACAATCGACTACATATTAGAAATAAATATCAAGAGCTGACTTGGAAATTATTATTATGATTAACGTAACCCATTCTTTAGTCTTTCTACCCGGTTTGTGTTATTTTATAAATGGTTGAAATAACATACTTCAAGACATTTAATGTAATCATTATTTTGCTAATATTGTTGTTAGAGAGTTGAAGAAAGCTTTCTCTTCTTTGTTAACTGTCACATAGAATTTGTCTCATTTCCAGACCACTATAAAGCTTCCTTAATTCACTTTTTAAGATATATGGGACGTACTGAACAGGAATTGCAGGAATATGTGCAAAGAAATTGTGAAAAACGACCTCCATTCGAAAGGTATGGTAGAGAATTTTTTAAATTAAATAAATGAATCATTTATTCATTAATATTATTTCACTACTTTCGTTATTTATAATCGATTTTTACTAAACGAAGTATAAGTAACTTTTTAAAGCTGATATAAATCTCTGTATTTATGATTTTGTTTAGGTTTACCTAACTAGATCCCATTAGGAAAGTATTGTAAAATCAATAAAGCATGTTCAGAAAAAAATAAAAGCTTTTAGTACTTAGTCTTTATTGAGATCAGCTTTATTTAATTTTGTTAGCTTCAACAGAAAATTATTTACTTTAATGGTATCACAATTGCTATGAACTTTGAATATTTTGTATTTCATTGAATAAGTAATTGTAGAGTAGCACTACTGAAGGATATTACACAACTACAAAAGAGTAAAATAGTGCGACAAACAATGCATTAAAGATTAAGAATATTTTCTCATTTTTTATGTAGTTTCTAATTGTTTTTTGGCTGTAAATACTTCTGAATATCTGTTGATCACGATACAAAGCACTGGTATATATTAGTGACTTAAATACTTTTATATGCTATCGTAGGTAATAGACGCAATGGTTTATAACAAGTGATTTAAAAAGAAATTAATTGGACAATCGCACAGAATGTCTACTCATGCAGGTGTATTATTCTTATTTTCTAGACGAATATTTTTTTTTGTTCCTATAGTGTTAGAAAATTTCCAGCAAATAATTTCCCACGTAATATAAAAATTACCAATTTTTAAATCAGTAAATAGTTCACCCAATTAACAGTGATCATTACAAGTTATTCCTTGGTTTATCCATATCACGAATCACATGTGAAAACTATTGTATAACGATTTCTTAAAATTTTTTATCAGAATTAAGATAGGAAATATGAACATAAAACAATGAGTTAGATTTCAGTGTATCTGTTTTTCCTGAAACCAAATGACAAAAAAAGAACTTGTTGTTATAGCTGTTTCCCTAATTATTCCCATACTTCGTCAGTAATACAATTACCAAAACTGTACACTTGAAGGCAACAAAACACTAGTTCAGTGAGTAGTAATTCAAGTAATAAGACCATGTGTCAAGCAGAGGTCGATAAAAATCAATGAAACTTGTCAAGTAAATGTATATTAATGTCCAAATGAGTCACCAAGCTTGTAAGCAATTATTAATTAAGATAAAAGAAATAAATGAAGAGGTTGGCAAACGCATTTGATCATACATGCTCGTCTATACTAGCAAAAAGGTTAGAAAATATGAGTGAATTATTACGGCCTAAAATAACATTATTTGCTAAATAGTTTAATTCAAGAACTTGACTAATTCGAACATAAGTTTGTGTGAAGGTGAGATTGATGCAAACTGCAATTTTAAGCTTAATTATATTAAAAGCTGGATCAGAACATGGATTATCATCATGTTGGAAACACTCTTCTGTATACCAATCATTGTATGTAGCTTAATGACTCTGTGTTAGCAAATTAACAGGTATTAAATTCAGAAGTTTAGGCAGCTAATGGTACTTCAGATGAAATTATCACTTATATTTAAATTTGTATTGTTTTTAAGCGTTACATACCTAAAATACTGAGATATATTTTAAATCATTACCTGGAAAATTAAAAAAAAAACATTATATTTCCATACATTTTTCTAGACCGTCAGCTGCTAAGCATACCAGTTTATCTAAAATTACTGCCCCTGCATATTCTACTAGACGACTGAATTCAGGCTCACTAACATTACGTTCAAGTTCAGCTGACAGACGTAATTTCACGTCAGGTACCATGGGTGGAAGTTTTGCCGGAACATTAGTTACACAACCTGCACTAAAAAGAGCTCAAAGTATGGGTGTTCATGCAATCAGTCGGGATCAACAGGCTGCTGAAAGATCCTCTACAGATATTCGCTTACCAATCACCACACTAGCAACTAGCGGTTATGCCACACTATCTGGAAGTGTTAATGATAGTGGTCGAAGTAGTCATCCAAAAAATATTGAGGATTTAGAGCAGAGTGAAGTAAAAATACTACAGTCAAGTTCACAAAATGAATCAGGACGAAGGATGACTGGTGATTGGAGTGGAGAGAATCAACATAAGCAGTCAGATGAAGGCATTTCTAGTCGTGCATGGAAATCTGAAGCAGGATCGCCCGATCAGAGTGAAGTCACATCACTGTCTAAACTTAATTTAGGAATGGATGCCTTTCTTAGTTCTCGAGATGACCAGATATCTTTTTCTGACCAGCGAAACCATGAAGAATCAAAGGAAACAGGGGAAAATTCTGACAACATACAACTGAGCAAGAAATCTACACACCTCTTTGATATACTTCAGGATGGTTCAATCAGAGGATATCTATTTTCGTCTTCTCCTTCATTTGACAAAGGCAGTGAACAATTACCAGACTTAAGCAGCTTTCAGCCAACTGAACATCAACTAAATGATTACTCTACATCTCGCTCATTCGATCTGAATCATACATGCGTTTCTAGTTCAGATAACCATCCTAGTTGGTCGCTTTCATTAGCTTCAAAAGTTCTGTCCAGTCAACCAGAATCAATACACCGTTTCGAATTCTCACAACCACCTCCTAAACCTCATCGTACTTCTCAAATTTTAACTGCACGTGAAGAGGATAGTTTGAGATCGACTTCTGAAGTAAGCCATTATGTTAAAGTATTTATTTTTGCGTTAACATATGTAAACGACTAAAGTCAAACTGCGAAAAACTAGTTTATACTTTGTGCTAGTGACATTTTTATGGAACTTATAAAGTTAGTTAACTAAAATTAGTCTCTAGTTTTTTTCAAGTTTTTTTTAACGGGGTTTTACCACAATACGGTTTACATCTTTCTAATTTCATTGTTTTTTATTAGGTCATATATAAATATTTTACTCCACAAGTTTACCCTGGACAACTCACAGTGAAATGCAAATCCTGATTAACCTTTGAAAATAAGACTATTTAACGAGAATATTTGTAATTTTTGGTCATTATTGTACGAAACAATTTATAGGGTGATAAACATACTTGCCTACATTGAACTGTAAAACTATGAAAATAAAGAACAAACCACTTAATTTACAAAAAAGAATTAGGAGGTTAATGTAAGGGAAATCAACTGTAATACAGTTTATTCTCTTAGTCAATTAAGGTTAGAATGTAAAAGTCTTTTATCTATACAATAGGTATTTTATGGAAGTGAGAAAAGGTACCTGTAAAATGTTGTTGTTTTACTATCCTTCTTGTTTATGTTATCAATTTCATGGATGTACTAGAAAGGATGTGCAATTACCAGTGAAATTAGATGTGGTTTGAAGTAATTTAGATTAGTAACGAGTAAACAACCAATATTATTATATGAGATAAATATGGCATGTGTGTAATAACGCACAATCGATTATATGAACTGATATAAATTACACATGTAAAATGTTACACATAGTTTAAAACATTTCAGTCAATTAAAGCGTGTCCAGCTGTAGAACGAGTGTTTTCGTAAGTCATTCACTAGTAAACTAAATTTATATTCAATCACAAGACTTGAATTTCGTCTACCGTGCAAGTTTACAGATGAAATGTCAGTATTACTAAAACGTATACTATATAACTGGCTATCACATTAAATGATTGCCACTTTAATTACTGATATTAGTAAGTCACTGAATGTTGTTAATTTAACAATGAGTACATTTAATTACTTCAAAGTATGGTCCGATTACACATACTGATGATTATTCAAAACAAACGTCTTGACAATTGGAATCTATTTGTAGCTGAATCAATCATGAATCTTAGCACTCGTTCATAAGTCACCTCTTATAGCTTTACAAATTATTTACAGTATTCTGTTGAGGGATTTTGATCTACTTTATAATATTCAAATGAATTAAAAATTTCCTTCGACACACTACAATGGTCACCATAATCTCGGAATGTTAATAAATTATCCCGACTTTTAGTCTTATTACATTTCATATTCTACCTATTTTCAAAGATCAATTTTCCAGTTTGTCTTGCGTTCATTCTGAAAACTAACGAATTACGTAATCGTAAATCAATATGCAAACCATAAATCATTTGACAGTTCCCATAAACAGACTATTGTCAAATCAGATTGTACTGATATTGCATGGATAAAAAATGATGGTTTTAGTTTGATTATTGTAAATGAATAAAAATTCATGAAAATCTTTTGTTCGTAATATTTCCTGCTTCAACAAATCATTTTTGAGCTTCCTTTTAGATGAATTATTTGACAATATTACAATGTCGAAATATTCTTTTTCTGTAACAATGCAACAAAAAATCATTAATACAATTTAAAACATTGTATGTGAAAATTATATTTGAAATAATCTAAGTGATGAAAATTTAAAACGATCCCAACGTTTCGTCCAGCAAACTTGTCTGGACTTCTTCAGGGTGATAGTCAAAATCATCAAAGGAACGCTATATAGTTCTTTGATGATTTTGATTATCACCCTGAAGAAGTCCAGACAAGTTTGCTGGACGAAACGTTGGGATCGTTTTAAATTTTCATCACTTAGATTATTCCAAATATAATTTTGACATATAATGACATTTCTATACTCGGCGCCCAATTTTTGTCAAACTATTCGTTCTAATATTGACGAATATTCGTATAAACAATTTAGAACGTATATGTTAGAAACAGTAATGGGTTAAATGAAGTTAAATCTTATTAACTAGTTATAACTAGACTTATTTTTTTGGATAGAGAATAATGATGAAGTCCAAAGTCCTCGTTTCGCCATGACCCATGAACTGTCAGGTAGATGTATTGAATCCTAATGTTTATGTCTACAATAAGGCCTGTAAAAGATAATATCCACTAACATATCTTGAATAACATTTTTACATTTGTATGGAAAATTTTATCATTGGTCACTCATTTGTAAGTTACCCAGTTATCAAGAACTACTTATCGAGAGTAAGTGGATACTCAGAAATCACCTTGTGTGCAATACTTAAATGTTTTCAAAGTTTCATTTTTGGACTACTATATGACTGAATAGGAAATCGTACTTTCGTCGCCAAAACTTTTCAGTTTGTGTGGATTCCTGTTGAGTTGTTCCTGAGTAATATTAACTTCTATTATCTTTATATTATTAACTATGACCCCCTTATTTATCATCAAGTATTCAGTTCGCTTGAAATTAGGGGAATAAAAAAATAACAACTTTATCGCTTGTCATAAGATTAGAGCAGACATATTACGTGTTTCAAAATACTAGACATTGTGAACACTAACGTCTCATTAAAAATCAAAATCTTTCCAGAGCTACTTAGAATAAATGAGTTTTAGATTTAACATTTTAAAGTACTATTCTCTGTTCATTAACGACTCACTTAAATTTGGATGAAATTTTCTTTTTTTCAATCAGTTAATAAACTTTAATTTAATTCAACGTGATAAATTAGCTTATTTTATCTCTTCTAAAATAACCTATATAGTTTGAAAGAAATACAATTATGGAGCCATCATTAGGTGAAATAATTCAACTTCATATGGATAGATCTAATCTTATAAATCCGATTACATCAAGTGGTAAGTAGTTTTGTTCATTTTTTTGTTTTGTTATTATATTTCGTCAAGATATATTTCTTTATTTCACCATTCGTTTATAATTTGAAAAGCATAAATTGTTTTGGTCTTTTTATTTACTCGGCTTTTGTATCTTCTTAGTATTCAGTTATTTGTTCTTTTCTTTAGTATCAAGTGAATAATCACCAATCATCTCTGAACATTGTGCAGTGGTGGTAGTGTAGTTTAATAATCTTTTAAAGTGCATACCATCCACTAGTTCAGATATTTATTATTCAAAGCAAACTCGTTTTTATCAGACCAGTTGGTAAAAATTTATCATTTGGAGGATATAACTTTTTATTAACGTCACTAGATCCCATACTGGTTTTCATAATAAGTTTTATACTATGAGATATTATGATAGTCTAAAAGGAAATTAAAGCTATAGTATAATACATGAAAGTTTACAGTAGCTGATGTAACAAACACAATATCATGATTAAGTAACAGTAAAATTAATGTTAAATTATCTCATATGTTCTTTAGTAAACAAGTTTTTGCCTAGTGATAAAACAAAGTATACACTTCTTTTTACAGTATGAATTTCTGATAACAAAATTGAAATCACATTATTTGATAAATTCTTATATATATATATATATATATATATATATAAATATATATATATATATATATATATATATATATGTAAGTTAGTGTTTGCATAAGTATTTTGTATAGTTTAAACTCCAATTTTTGTCAGATAAAAGTAATACCATTTAGAAAATGAATAATTCATTTGTAACATCCCGATGAGTGGAAAATTGAGTTTCTGAGTAAATGATATAATCAAATTAAACTTTGGTAATAATATCTACAAAATGTGATGTCATTTTCAGAGAAAATGAAAAGCACCGATCATTGAGAAAGCGTTTATATTCATTTCTTGACTTTTTGATGTACTTGGAATCTTTAGGCTTTTAATTTGTATCAGTTGTAATACAGTGTAATTTTCATCCGACTTCACTATGCACTATGAAACTTTCCTGTAGTTCATGTTTTCTAACAATTCTCCAACGGATATTACTTAGTAATTAATACGATCTTTGGATGAAGTTTCCATTTCTTTATGATAAGTCACCTAACTGAAAGCCTGAATCGGTTTTATGAGCTCTTTTATTAACTCCAGGTTGAACGTTAACAGTAACTTGAGGACGAGGAAAAAATGAGAAGCGTGAAATGAATGCTTTACTCCAAGGTTAGTTTGGGAACAGAAATTCGCGGTTATTTATAGTATTTCAGATGGCCGTGGGTCTTTGGAAGTCTCTGGAACCATACTAACTATGTTAGCAGCATACGTGAATATCCGTGATTCTTTACTTTCTAAATGTTTCGTAAAACCTATTCAACATTGGTTTGTGATGTTTCCCAGAGTTTTCAGGGCCCCTCTGAACTTTTCTGAGGAATAGTTTGGACCTACGCAACACCTTTCTTCTAAAAAATAAGACTTCTTAAGATGTAATTATTATTCACACAATTGAAAAACAATTTGTCTTTACCCCTCCTATTCCAATTGATTAGACTGTTGGATGACGAATATAAGTTACCAAAACATATATACATATATATATATATATATATATATATATATAATGTATATGCTTAGTTATTGTTTATGTTTCTCTTGAAAAATAGGCGCCGACAAAAATTAAACTGTTAAGGGGAATTATTTATTTATTGTATTATGAGAAATCTTTTTCTCTACAATGATTAAAAGTTTTTTTATGAAATTCTGATTATGAAGTGTAAATACTTTATTATTAGTGTTGTCCATATAGTTACGTCCATAATTATACACTTCGATCATGTATTAAGCAAGTTTTTTCTATCGAAGAAAATCTATTTTTCTGGCAGATAGAATCGTTTAGTGAACTGTCAAGCAGAAATGCTATCAAATATTCATTAAACAGTTATTAAACAGTAGCCAACTGTTTACAAGTAGTTCGTATATTGTATATTATAAATAATTGATAGAATCACATGCATTAATATAGAGCATTTTTGCTGTGCATCGACTGTAAGACAATTGCAAGGTTACTTCACAAATTTTCTGAAAATTAGCTTTAGATATTGTTTATGTAAACGAAAATGCCTTAAACAATTTAGTCTTTGGTGTTCTACATATTGCAGGCAGACCGTTTATAATTTCGGCGTACATGAACATCCTGAGACGGTTATTTTACCTTGTACTTACTAATATTATTATTAATAAACTAGTATCGCATGAGGTCTTAATGTTTCTTGTTCTGTCAAATATTTTTTTTTCTATGTAAAGACTTAGAACATTAGTTTATAAATAAATCAGTTATTTACCATACATCGTTCAAACCTTTGTTGTGGTTTGCGTTAAAGGTAGAAATTTATTTTTCAATGAATGCACGAGAACTTTTGATCTCATTAACTTCATTTCAAAATTCATGTGATTGAGTATTTGTGTTTAAATTAAAAGGTTCCAAACGACTTAAATTTCGCATTCGAATATCCAGCCAGTAATTTAAAAGGCGTAGAGCGGTTAGCTAGAGAATTTAATTTACCAGTGGAAATCAGTCGTATGGAAAGTCATTTACAGTTTTCAAAGTCTTAAGCCGATTTATACGCTATGCAAAATAGATTTCATTATGTTACAGTTCATCGATTCTACAGAATTCCTGTATTAAAATATTCAGGCTGTCAAAATTCTATAGTCTTCACAAATCACCTATACGACAAGTTAAGATAATTCTTCAGATAGATCAAACAACATTTATTACCTATTATTTCTTAGTTAAAAGGTGATGCTGTAAATAAGAAAGTACAATGGAATAGTTTTCACAACGAGTGACATAAATTGGGGATTCATCAAAACAAGAGATCTCTTGCTAACTGAATCATTCAAGCTTCAGGCACAAAAGTAACTAATACCACCAACTCCATTCTCATCAGAACGCAGAACTGTTTTAAACTAATCAAAATCTTATCAACAAACGTTTCAACCAGTCACTTTGCAGTATGATGAAAGCACAGCGAATATTATTCAGTGTCTATACAACATACATGTGGCTGAAATGACTTCAAAGATCAATAAGTAGGAGAGAATTAATACTTAATTAACTGTGATTTATTTTACTGAGGCAGGATAGTTGCTGTTGCCTTTCATTTTCTTTAAAACACATATAACACTCACATGCTTTGTTTAATTTTATTAAGTCAATTTATTATAGACCACATAACGATATAGTATTATTAAGAATTAAAAGACATTACTGTAGGGTAGTAATAAAAACTTCTGTTTTGTTACAATTTTGGTAGGATATAACATCTATCTCATGAAGATCTATTTATTAAGTATTTACTTAATAAACACTATTTAATCTTCTATCTAGAATCCGATAAGCTATCCGCTTACAATATTTAAAACAAAAAAATCCTGAATGAATAATTTGTTTTCCAAGAATTTACCACTAGGCCATAGAATTATAAATCTATTAATTATTTATTGCATTACACTGATGCTAATAAATATAAAAGTACACTATTTTAATAGATAAAATAGTTTAATTTAACAATAATTATTTATAATATGCACTAGATCGTCCATAGTAATGTAATAATGATGGATTTTAATTGTGAAGCTTGAAGATAAAGTATATAAAAATAACTTTTCGATTAAACTTTCTTCATTATCGTGGGTAATTATCAAAATTGAATTACAGAATATATATTATTTGTATACATACATATCATAATTGTAATAAATACCTGGTAACTAGGACTGATGTGTAAACATAGTTACACATACCAGTATAGCTAGCCACTTCCGAATATATCATATCAAATTATTATTTTCTCATTATGTCAGACTGATTCATTTGCTTAATTATTAGTTGAAATTATCGAAAAAAAACATATATCCAATTAACATTATTTTTGTTCTACTTGGACAAATTTTCTTAATATCTAGAGATTATTAAATGCAAATAAAGTTAATATGGTGTGAAGACAGCCTTAACACTAAAAGAAATTTAGATAATATTTTTAAACTATGAAATCTTATATTTATTTACATATTGAATAATTTATTTTTCCAAAATAAATTTCTAGGGACTCTTTCCCTAGAAATTTTTATTTTAGTGGTATTAAAAACCTTTTCATATGACAATAAGTAAGCTTTTGTCATTCTTTGTTTATTTTTAATCCTTTTCAATAGAATTTCTCAGAAAGAGACTTTGAAAATCATTGAACTGAAGTAAATGTTTTCCTAAAAAACTGATTTCTGTCAAGCACTTTGTTAGTGATATAATAATATTTTCAGCTACGTTTAGTCTAAAAAGAAAATTTTTAACGTTAGAAGTCTATGAATTATACGGAATGGTTTCACAATCATATCTTTAACTTTCTCCTCTGACTTGATATTATAGAAGAAAAAAAATGATCAGTCATTTTGTTCATTAAAATCGTGGCATTAATAACCAATCGAGATGTATCATTCAGCTTTGATATATTCCATTTTAGTTCTAATGTATACTGCGTATTAGGGAATGTAGGAAGAGCTGGACGTAAAAGAGAATTTGGAAGATAGAAGAACAAAACAAAAACTGATCCTGTAACTAAGGAAGTTTATACGATGTACTAACATTTAGTAATAAAAGCAATCGGCAACAGTTAGTGGTAACACAGGGATGAGTTTAAGACAGTCTGATAACCAAAACTAGAAGTTGATCGATTGAGATTTTGAACTCATTAATCGACAGAAATTTAATTTGCTATTCAAATCGTGCAAAGCAGCCTAGTATTACAACTTCCAACTTTTTTAATTTTTATTTACCATCATTTATCATCTCTCTCTGAATTATATGTTTTCATCCTAGAAAATATTGACATTATTTTCCTATGAATATAAATTTTGGAAACAGAAACGACAAATAAAGAAATCGATTTGTCTATCGATAGACTTGAAATAATTTTGCAAATATTTCTTATTGTCTTTACTCATCACATATGATTATATAATACTGTCGGATAATTTGTGCTTTGTTGCATTACCGTAAGCGTAGCCTGTCAATTAGTTGGTTTATTAGATCGGTCTAATCTGAAACTTCCAAATTCATCTAGCGACCAGGTTAGATATGTCTGTATGATGAAGACTAGTGAAACATTTAAAATAATCCATGCTTGTAGGCCAGCAATATGAGTAGTGACTCTTGAAATGTCATCATCGATGGTACTAGATGATCAGTGGATTAAATCGCGAAAAGATTTATTTTAGAAGTCTGAACGATTTTGTTTCTCCCGACTAGTGGTTCAAACACTTATTATAAGATCTGAAGGCACAGTGCTCGACTATTGATAGTATCTTAGTTATATGTTAACTAAAAGTTTCATTCTAAGAATAAACATCTATCTAAAGCTGCTCGATTCTTCCACATTCTAAGTTTTTTTTGGGACTTATTTTGTATAGATGTTTCTGTAACTAAATAGACAAATTTGTAGTCTAGTTTTTAAGCAAAATATGATGTTCCCGTTATAACTTTTTCGAAAGTTCAGATATATATTCAGGCTGACCGACATTGAATAATTAAGATAATATTAAATTTCTTTAATGAAAAATTATTTTTTTCTGTATACAATACACATTTTTACTTCTTTTTCCAACTATATTTAAAAGCAACACAACTCCTTGAAACATACAGTACAGTACAAAATATTAGTACTGATGATAATAAAGACGACAACACCTATGGATCAAGCAATACAGTCACGAATCTATCTAGCTCGCAACCATATGAGGCTACATTAATTTTACCTACTGTTACCCAGCTTGGTTTAGAGATTAGTTTGGATAAAGAATTATCATTTCTGCACACCAATCCAATCTTATCCACTGAAACAAATAAAGTAACTGGTTCTAAAACATCAGTTACTGACAACGTACCAACATTAGAAACAACATCGTTTACACATGAAAATAATACTGCAACAACAATGACTCTATCTATGTTGCCTAATTTATCAATAAGATCACAAACTATTTCTTCATCTATTACTATACCACCATTCACTACATCTTTTTCTCTGATGACTTCATCACTTTCAACAACAACGACAACAGCACCAGTGGCATATCCAGAAAGTATTACAACAACCAAGGGATCACAAAGTCTATTAGTTAGTGATCAGTTATTATCTCCCGATCACTCAATACTGTACGATTTTCTACCACAGGAAGATACATTTTCAATTACTTTAAATGATATTTCAATGTTGAGGTCATCTGAAGCAACTGATAGAGCATCAACAGATAAGCAATTACCCAAATCAGAAGTAGAATCAAACAGAGTGCAACTTACCGATTTTCTACAAACATTTGGTTTAACAAGTAGTTCAAATGAACCTATAGATCTAGTTAAATCTCTAGCAAAATCTAATGAAAATGAAACTTATGGATGCTTGTTTCTGGATGATGTAAGTAAAGTACATTATCATTTCTTCATTGTAATTACCTCCGTACATCTTGTGCGTTTAAATAATCCAAATTATTGATTTGTTGTTTTATAAAACGTTACCTCTATTATAAAGATAGGCTCCTTTGTCTAAAATATACTAAACTTGGAACACTGTCTTAATTAAAGATGGTTTCTTGCTTGATGTCAAAGTATTTTCTAAGTGTAACTATAGGTTTATCAAAATTAATAAATGTCGTTCTCCTGACGTATAGAAAAATAAAATTCCTGACGTTCAGTGACTTAGCTTAAGCTGTTTATTCAGAAGACAAAACAACATCCATGAATCGATACAAGTTTAAATCGTAAAAGAAATAAATCAGATTGAAGATTTATTGCGCAACGATAAATTTTACTGTGCTACCTTCAATTTAGTTCAATTTAGTTCGTAGATAAGATTTTATGTGTTCACACGTATTTAGTTGATTTAAATAAGTGTGAAAATTACATTTCGACCAAGTGTCTAAAAATAATGAAGAAAATCTTGACTGTTATTATAATATGTTGAATTTTGTCATTAATATTTAAGTAAAACTATTTATCCGCTTTTTTTTACATCACTTTGTTTAAATCTTCACAAAAGAGGTGTAATTGCTCGTAGGTGAATAATATATTCAATACATTACATTCATCATGAATAAAACGAGCTTTTATCATGTATTTTAACAATATAAGTTACTGATATACGGTGTATTGTTCATTTTTTCTTAATTTTTTGCCTTTTTTATTTTCAATAATAATTCAGTGTGTACAATTTATATAACAATAAAGTCCCATTTCCTTCCTGTTTCACCTACACTTATATTGTTCATGTAGTCAATTTATTATTTATTCTGATAAAAACACTTGTTAGCTTTTCGTGATTTATCTTCATTATACTGAGCTATTTTATTGTTTCCATAGATTTACCATACTTTTATCCAATAATATGTGGATAATGTTTACCCAGCTAAAAATTGTCAGTAATCAATGCATCTGTTCAGTAAACTACAGTTACTATTATCAAAATATGTCGATGTCAATTAAAAATTCAAGCTTATGTCTATTAAAAGGCAGTTATAAGGAAATTGATTACTTATAAGAAGTCATTAAATGTTAATTCATTTCAGACATCAAAAGAGAATTCTATTTCTTTTATAAAAACAACATTTTAAGAGAATTTCGCAAGCTTCTGACTATGAAAATAAAAGACATTTTTGAAACGTGATTAGTCGATTTTTTCCAGCTCCATATTGAAATACCAGAAAAATTGAGTAGAAGAAAGAAGTCTGACATTTTTCCAAATTGGTCCCCTTTTCTATTTTTGTACAAAATATTTTATTTGTGCATTTTAAGTAGTGCTATTCAATACCCAAATGCATATTTAGTGCGTCCAGTTATGTGTTTTGGATGGACCCAAATAACACCTTTTGCTTATACAATTTCACACATCAATATTAATTTATTATTGTCAAATTACCAACCTCACCATCACTGTAACGAGCCAGTCTCATATAGTTTATGCCTATTTAGATTGAATATTCAGTTTTCTGAATTATCAAATATACTATCAAATTGACTTATTTCGTTATCCTTTTTGTGATATAGAAGCTCTCCTAAAAAGTCTTTTCTCTTCTCTTCTCATTTGGATAACACTGTCACAGTAGTAGTGTCTTTTTATATAAAACATTTGAATCCATCTAATCACATCTTAACTTCCAAATACAGTTAGCTTTTAAACTGAAGCATTCATATGATCATACTGTGTTGATTAAAGCAATAATTTTGATCTGAAAAAAATAATTAAATTACTCTTCATATTTACAGTTAATTGGATTGAAAATTACTAGATTTGTTTGCTACTTCGAATCCCAAATGATTCTTTTCATTGTATTCAATCATACCAGTCTAGAACAATATTTCTTTATTTATCGATCTTTAGATTTTCATGTCCTGATCTTGAATTTATTTCTAAATTATTCAACATATCGATTTTTGTATCTTATTGATTATCATATAAATGATCTCCTTTCACATTTATCCATCTTAATTTAATCATTCGTTATTCTGTAGAATGAAGACTCTTTATTTTTACTAATAAAATTTTTACTTTATATAAATATTACTTAAATATTATCGGTGTTTTATTTTAACAAGTAAATTTCAACAAAACAATCATTAAGTTAGTTTTCAATGAAGACCTTTTTTATTTCTTTGAATTTCATGAAGGTTGAACTTTTCAAAGAACATCATGTTAACATTTTGAGTTGGATGTATTGTATATATCAATTTCCTGACCTTAAAACTATATACTTTATTGTAACTTCTTAGTCATTTATGTAAAACTAAAAAAAGGGTTTTCATTGTTGAAAAATTGTCATCATATTAAAAACACAGATATATATACAAAGAACAATACTGAATGTAGGAAAAATACAATGAATGTTTTTTATATTTCCGGTGGCCATTCCGAGATTAAAAGATAAATTACATTGATTAGCTACCTTTTTCTATTTTTTAAAATTCAGCTGCTCTTGTAAACTATGCTATATTTCTAGATGACGTCATATACAACTTGAAAGGGAATAGGGGAGAATCGATAGTCGTTTGAGACTTATTGGTAGGACGCACTTAAGCCTTAACTGTAATTTAATCTAATTCAAGTGTGAAAATGACTTAACAACATCATATTCTCATGGCTGGATACTAAAACTGGTTGGTTGTGAAAGTTTTGCTAATGATATGCTGTTCACAAAATATTTGTTGACTTACAGGTTTAACCTTATCATAGTAACAATACCTGCTTCCATTGAAACGTTTTTTAGCGAATATCATTATTCTTATAAAAAGAACGCGATCGTCGTGATATAAATAGTTAACCAAAGATTCAACATTGTATTCAGTTGTATACATTGTAAGATGTTGTATCGTAAAAGTTGCTTTAGTAGTGATCAATTATAATTGGTCATCTGGAACAACATACACTATTAAACATTTTAAATTAAAATCCAAATAGAAAGTGTAAACTATTAAGGAAAAAGACATAATGTAGTTAGTTCAGGTACTCAGTTACCATCAACTTTTGAACGAAAATTACTTTCTTTCTCCAACATCCTAGTAATTGGGGTAAACAGCGATTATCTTGAAGTGATAACAGAGAAATGAAGCAATATGATATAAAATGAAATGCTAACTGACGATTTTATTGTTTGAAGTCATTGATAAAATGATTGTATTTTCGTCTTAATACCATAAATGATTGATTTTCTTAAAAATGCCGAAGCTAAAATATTTATATACATTATTTTAACTGCCACCTTCAAATATATTCAATTACTGTTTCCCGTCAGCCTCTAATGATCTTAACGACGTTGAACTATGTACAATCATAAGTAAGGAAATTGAAAACAAAACGTTTAAACACAGTTTTATTCTTCTAGTTTAAAATATCTGGATTCAAGGTTAACGACAAAAAGTTAATCGGTTGTGAGTCTAATGTATGATTGATTTACTTCGTAAAACGTCACAGAAATCTCCTATGGGACACCTACACGGATCAATAATAAACGCTAGTAATTGTAATAAATCCAATCCCTTTTCTGATTGGCCTATTCAATTTACTGAATTGTATAATGTAGCTATTGGATTTTTATCTTTTCATTATTTTTACTGGTTGAAATATTTCAAGGTCGAGGACAAATCAGCTGAAAGTATGATCGAACTTTGTTTCTTCATTCTACAATCTAATTGGTAAAATATTCTCACTTTAATGCATACAGGGGTTATAATAATCTAATGTGTATCTACCGTTCTATTTGTCTTAATAATTAATTGACCCTTTTAACAATGTACAGCTCTTCATTTTTTAAAGATCCAAAATTTAAGAATTACAATGTTCTAATTTTGATCCAAGAAATACATATTACTTTGTAAGTTGGCTTATCTTTTCAAACAAATATTTTCAATGATTATAGTGATTTACAATCGTAAAATTTCAGATAAGTGCAATTAATTCACATATATAAATCAGGATTTACTAGAACAAATAAGCATTTTATTCTAATTTTAGCTGGGTTCAAAATCTCAAAATCATTTTGGTACCAGTACGACTCAAACAGATGTATGTACCATATCGACAGCTTCTACAACTACTTCCACATCTCCAGCTAAAGCGAAATCACACGTAACTACCACATTATCCGAAATATCCAAGACACATGATTCTTTATTCTCTCATTTCAATGCAAATGTATCACGTTTTAGTGTTGGTGCAGAACCAATTCATATTGCATCATTGGATCAATGGAGCTCAAGTAGTTCAGAAAGCACAACAGGAGTTATAATACGCTCAGATTTAGTACCGAATACATCTGCCACATGTCATCATTCTGTTCCGTGTATTAATTCTATCAATCCTATGTTACAGCATTCATTAACCTGCCCAAATGCTTCAAAATCTATACCTTTGGGACACGTTACCAGTTATCTGCATCCATCCGAAGGTGATGTTAGATCCTCTAATTACAGAACTGAACATAAACAAGTGAATAGTGTTAAAGGCACAACATTACATAACAATGTACCAGCTAAGTCTAAACACTATAAGCATTTGCAAAGTCACGAACATGTATGTTCCCATGGTCATCACTTATCTAATTCTATTCCTTCTGGTATTCATCTTACTGAATTAGAGGAATCAGTTCTTTCAACATCACAGCATGTTCATAACATGATTCCTACGGAAAATGTGAAACGAATTCATGGAAAACACAGCGACAGTAAAAAAATCTGAACAAGCGAGAAGAAATAAACATTTACATCATTTGCATGAACAAATGAATCAAGAATCAAGTGGAAATCACAATTTGGTGTCATTAAATGATTTGGAAAATGCAGCTGAGATACTTGAAGAGGTTCCTTATGTGGTACTTAGACGTCCTCGTTCAGTTGATGTTAAACAGTATCAACTTCACTTAGAGCACCAAAGACAACAAGCGGCTGCCTTAGCTGCTGCTGCTGGGGGCTATCCATTTCATCTTTATCAAACACCAGGTGTTCATTACCCTTTCACTTCACGACTACCAATTGGTTCTCAGTTGTCATATGGACATTACGTTCAACCACCACCTTTTCATGGGTTCAGAAGTCTGGAATGTAATCAAAATCATCATTTAGATACACCGATTACATTTGGATCGCATCGTAAATCTGAACAGTCAGGTAAACAAACATCTCATAAATGTTCATCAAGTCAATCGAAGCAGGTATCAAAACTGGATAGTGACTCATGTAAACGACATTCTAAGAGAACACATTCAAGAAGGTTAGTTTAAAACTTTGGAAGTAGTTTTTACATAAAATTATCAGAGGGGTTGGCTTCTACATACGCAAAGAGATTTCAGGCGTGAATTTCAGTTTACACATAGCTCTCTTATCATTAACCACTACTTGTGATAATCTTAGTCTTCACTTCATGGGCGTGTATTCCCTAATGAGCAAAAAAAAATTGTTAAACTCTACTCCGATTATTGGATATTGTTTTCTAACAATATGCGGTATTTCCTTTTATGTTCATTATCTTAATTATTTTTATAAACTTCCTCTAAAAATAGTTCAATTAAGTAAAATAGGAAACATTTTGTAGGTCCAAAGCTATGCTTATTGAGAGTATATGTTAAGCTGTTGAAATTTCGTTTTTACAAAGGACCAATGAATATTTATTGGGGGAAGAAATCTAAATTAACTGATACGTGAGTCTGATAGATCACAGATATTATAATAGTCATTTACAATGCGTCACCAATTTTCTGTTTATCAATTTATGGGTGATACAATTACACGTTTTTTATACTACTACTGGTACATATCAGTGAGTGAAACCAATATCTAAACTTTATGCCTTAAGCGGACAAATGTATCGGCATAACGTTCAACAGATTTTAGTCATCGTAAAGCTGACTCGCGAAATGAATCCTTTCACGACTGTATTTCCAGATGAACACACAACAATCATGTTCATTCTCATTTTGATTTCACTAATTAGGAGTTTTCAGGTCAATTAAAAGTAAGCGCTGATGTTTTTCAGAAAGAAAAGCTTCGAAATTTAGCTATCCAACTTAAAGAACTCTATATTACTGAAGATTGTCAAATTTTTTACTTTTGTATCATATTCAAAAGGAGTCAAAGTTTAAAAAATCTTGCTTGAGACCCTATGTTCAATTTGGATCAAACAACAGAATGTGAATAATAAGTAGGTTAATATTTGATCCAACTGTTAACAGACCGAAGCAATTTTTTCCACCATATTGATCCTTGTTTTGTCCCGTTTATCTCACAAACGGGTTTTTTTGTAATTTTATCTTTTTGTACATCAAATGAATTATCCACACGTAGCAAACTCGCCTAAAAAGGATTAGTAAAGTTCGAAAATAAGTGTATTTAAGAGAAATTATGAAAAATGATAAAAACATATAACACTTTTACTTAGCGATCATAATGTTAATTAATTGGCTTATCGATTTATGTAGTTTAGTTTTTTCCAATACTTACTCATTAAGCTTATTTCATATCTATCCGAAGTGCTATTGATTTAGGATTGCAAGATTGATTATTCTTATGCTTAAGTACAGTTTTTGTGAAACTAGTGATTATCTCAAAAATAGTTTAAAATTGCTGACTGATAGCAACTGGAGAAGTATTAACAACTGGAGAGTACTAAACAACTCTTCTATCATAGTTTGAAATTCTTCAGGTCTACACAACCTTGACTAAACGTGGGAACAGTCAGTGAACTATCAGAATGAAAACAAAGCCTCGACTATTTACTACACATAACTTTTTCGTGTTAATTTCATTCTATCCTTTCAGTATATATATATATATATATATATATATATATATATATATATATATATATATATATATATATATATATATATATATATATATACAGAGAGAGAGAGATTGCAATCCAAAAAAATGAGTACTTATTACCACACACTGAAAACAGACAGGTTTGTTTTGTCCGCACCTAGGTATAACAGAGGCAATAGTTATCACAATCTTCCGACTAAATTTATCCCAGTCACATCAGACAAGTGTAAATATTATCTTTGAGTTTACTTTAACATTTTCATTATTCTTGTAGCTATTTCCAGTTTGAACTTTATTGCACCTTGTTAACCTAGTTTATTAATGATTTATTCAGTTATCACAAAAACACAAATCCCTAGCAAGTTCTTGATTGGACCTTATAATGATTATCATTTACATTATCATCCTCTAACCCATAAGCCTGTACCCATCTTCTGCAAGATATTGTTGTTTGTAACTGTATGTGAGGTTATACAAATTCTCATCTTTTCATAGTCGAAATATTTGAATTATTTTAGAACTATATATTCGATTAAATTCAGCCTAAAAATTCATGTCTTTAAAATAACAAATACGACTACAATTGATTGATCACTGGGTAGTGATCAATGTCATGCTTGTCTAGTCCTTATTAGTGCAGATCGAATGCTATCGATCATGTTGCAATGTGGCCACCAGTCTAGGTGACCCGACACTGCGGGCACTATGTATTGAGATTTAGATGCTATCGATCACCTAGACTGGTGGCCACATTGCAACATGATCGATAGCATTCGATCTGCACTAATAAGGACTAGACACGCATGACGTTGATCCCCACCCAGTGACCAATCAATTGTAATTACATATCAGTCCTACAGGAGGTTGATCGCGGCTCGGATAGCTCGGTGGTAACGTCTCTGACTGTGAAGCTGGGTGACACGAGATCGAATCCGCCAGGGAGCACCAGTTCCTTCAAGATTACAGGTACACCTTGCTGACGAGTGCCAAGTAGCACGAAACCCGGGTCAAGGGTTTCCTGTTGACTACCTCCAACCACCATCTAAACAAATACGACCGGACAATATTGATTCCACTTGGATCAACAATTTTTACTGTAATATACATGAATATTTGAATGCGTATATGCAAATATTAAACCAACCAATATTGTAATAGATTGTATAGGTACACATAATAAGTTAAAAGTACAAATTAATAGTAAGAAGACTCGTAATATTAGTGGTACGAGTAATATAAATTCTAGTTAATGGTTCAACATGGGAAATAGGTCAAACTTGGATAAATAGGCCGTAAAATAATAAACTCAATGCAGTCTATGATGTTGCGTTGATTGATTTGATATATTTATATACAACAGTAAATCTGATGATCTAATTGCAAACAATATTGTTTGCTCATATGTGTTGTTCGTTGCACAGATAGAATCTTTAATATTCATGCCTTTGTTTGTTGTTTTACGCGAAATGTGTAATTAGAACATCTACATTGTCTGACTCGGATAATTTGAAATTTTAGAAAATCATTTAGGCATCCGATATTACTAAATAGAATATACAACTTGAAAACAGAAACAAAGATGGATTTTGAAGGTTCTTAATATATCTAATTATCGTAAGGTGTGTTGACTACTGATTTCAGCCCTAAACAATGATCATAATGAAATGAATGTACCATTTCATTGGTGAATATTCACTTTCAGAGTTTTGGGTCTTTTTATGAACCATAACTCAAAAGTTTGTATTAGTAGTTAGGAAAAAGAAATCTTTATTGCACTGAAAAACGTGTTTAAGTAGTCGATGTATTGGTTATTTCTTATGTATAGTGGCTATCACGTGTTACACATCTCTCAAAATCGTTGTAGGGTTGTCTCCAAGGTAGCAGTAAACTGGTGAATAAATATCTACTGATCTATTTTAATTTCCTGAATACCGTTATATGACTATTAACTTAGTACTGAACATTTCCTAATAATTAATGTCTTTTATTTTCTTAATTATTTATCAGTCGAAAAGAAACTGAACCATTTGTTTTGGAAGAAAATGACTACTCCTTAAAGGGTGACAGGAAATTCAGTCAGTACGATACTAATGCCAACCATATATCTGTCACTGATTTACCACCACGAACAACCAGCGTATACTCTCATCATCGTCACCACGACCATTGTCTGCACAGACGTGGAAAAACAAATGGTGTGTCTGGAGATAGAAAAGTGAAATCCTCAACGTTGGCTAGTACTGTTACAACCATTAGCACTAATACAAATGTTGGCAGCAAAGATCAAAAACATGACAAGTCGTATACTGAATATGATGCTAATTTAGCAAAAGGTAAGGAGACAATGATATCATCTGTAATATCATCAGGAGTATTAACAACAACCACTAGTGCAACAGGACTAACAAAACAAAAATCACAACTTCCAGAGTTACAACAACTACAACCGTCATCACCTATGCAAGACAAAAAGAGTAAAGCTACAACATCATTGATAACAACTGAAAGTCAAAAATTAAAACAAATTTCATCACCCGATGTTCATGAGGAAAATGGTGAAAGTGAAATACCTTATCCTGTTTCAGTATCTGCTGTAAAACCGGTGCCTAAATTGAAGGCAACATCAAAATCAAGTAAGTGAATTAACATAATTAAAGCAACTTACTATATATATATAGAAATTTATGAATTTCCTTACTACTGTGACGTAAAACATATCATTTGATCCCACACACGAATAAACATCAAGCCCTACTAAATCTTTAAGTGTGAACTCTGCAATAAATCTGATTTGTTTTATTTTCAAATCTTTTTAAACACAAATCTTTATGTAGAATTAAAGAATTCATCCCATCAATATTTTAGTAAAGGCTACATAATTGGTTTTTTTTCTAAGTGTCTACAATGTTTACCAAAGGAAGTAAAATACAGAAATGTTTTATTGCTATTCTAACAGTATGATTTTCACAAAAAAAATTCTGTTCGAATGAATAGGAATTTTAAGGCTAATGTGTACACTTTAAGTCAGTTAAATATACCATGCATATATGTTTACATCAGTCAGTCAGCTACAACGCAGGACCGGGCACATATACATTGGTCCAAGTTGCCAAACCTCATTAGCACAACAAGGTGAAGACCATATTCATAGAAGTAGTTACTTCAATGATAGTAATATATAAAAGATTGCGTATAATGATATAATACAGGAAGAAAGAATTGGTTGGTAGAAAGTAAGGTATAAGGTAATTTTAATATCACGGTTTATATATATATATATATATATATATATATATATATATATATATATATATACATTGCTATTCTTTAAAGACGTCAACATCCATCATATTTAATTACAATAAACTGGTTGGTCCGAAATCGCTACGTTTTCTTTTCAATTCAAAGATTTCAAGCTTGTACAGAGACCATACAACTATATTACTTCATTTTTCCCAGACTTGTAACTATTATCATGCAGACCTTTCCTGCTGTGTTTCATCAATGAAAATAACTGTAGCAGATAAGAAATTGTTCTATGAATAAATACAAGACTAAGTTTGTGTTAGTTTAACATGAAATCACTTACGCTTTTAAGTAAGGTGAACAACGTATTTTTCTAACGTCTATCTCACTTTAGTCATTCACTATTCTATATTACAAAACATGGCTGCTACTATTATTTTTCAAAAACATCTATCTGATCTTTGGTAAATACAGGTGACATGAAATAATTATAACTCATCACTTTTACTAAGTTTGTGTATTTAAAGACATTTTTCTCACAATGATGCTATTTTCAATGGTTGATTATTCGAACTACAATCGATCAGTTTTTTCATATTACGAAAATATACTTAGTAGGTTAGCATCGAAATAGAAAGTTGAGAGTTGTAGTCTTGACTCTCAACAACAAGAAATCACAAACCCCTCTTCATACCTGTCAAATAAGTCACTAGCAATATGTATTCAGCAACTTAGTGAGTACTGCATAGATATTTGAAACCGTGCCCATGAGTTTTGAGACTCAGTGTGAACGTTAACACTGGAACCAAGGTAGATCTAGTTGAACTCGAAATAAGCTGAAACGTACTTTTTGGATCCCACTGATAATCAAATACCATAATGCTCAACGATTTGAAAATTCTGAAAATTTGTTATTTTATTTTTTTAAAAATTATTTTTGTCATTCGGGGGTTGAGGCGAAATCTCTCAGACTACTGAAAACATGGGAACGTCTCACTAAATACAATATAGCTACTTAAACCAAGTGATTAAATTTACCTATGATATATATATATATATATATATATATATATATATATATATATATATATTCGGCGAAAATGACAGTTATTTTATTTGTGCATAATTGAGATGAATAGCATATAATTATTCAATATATTCCTTCAAATGGAACAACATTTCTTCTCATTATAAACTTATAATTATTATTTATCGATGTAAGTAATCGATACATTGCATTTCGATTATTCATTTGGCTGGTTGTATCCTCACTGAACACTTGGAAAGTGTTTTTTTTATCACTGGTTTATACATTATCGAATGAAATCGAGTTACAATTTGTCGTTCAATAATTAATAGTAAATATAATTATCTTAACGCAAATTAAATCTGCTATTAAATTATCTTAAATTAATTGCCATCTACCTAACTTGATTAGAAACTGTTACGTCAGCCAGTATTGAGGTAATTATATTATACATAAAATACGATAAAAAAGGAATACAATTTACATGCGGCAATCAACAAACTACTTTGAACAAAAGTGTGAGAAGACTTTCGTACATTTTGCTTCTTAAAATCCTATTGTTCATCTCACAAGTAGGTAATAATTATTTCATGACTGAACAATCTGTTGTATTTGTGCAGTGGAATTTACACACCATATGGTCACCATATTGAAAATATAATTTTTGTCATTATCTGTAAAAGTTTCCTTTCTATACAGTTATGTGCGAGCCTCCTCGATAAGAGCTGTATTCTGGTCGATCGCGGATATCAAAATGTCTAATATAAAATTTTCCCTTAGTATTTTCTCAATCAGAAACTTTTGGTTTTTCATTTTGAAAGTTTTGTAAGGTTTGATGTTCGTTACATTCCTTATTTGAAATTTATCCAAAGAAGCCTCAAGTTTATTAACTATAGGTTCCCGATTTTCGGGACTCTCAGAAAGTTCATTTCACGTAATCCGGTTCTCTTGTATTTTTCCATGTCCGATGTCCACCAACCTTTGTTGGCATTCCATTCTATTTTGGTCGACTCGGTAGACTCAATAAATCACTTTTTGGTTCCTCCTAGGTTAGCGTGCAAAATATAAAACACAACATCGATTGATCACATTGATAATACCTAAAGATATTCTTTAGGCATTAGTTCAACCTAAATATGTTTCTAACCAACCAAAAGCAAACTTTTATTAGGTGAATAAGCGGTCTGGACATTGACGGATTCTAGTCGAAGATTTGATTGATTTAACAAACAACACATTACTTCGTACTTATTATTGACGAGATACCCGCTTACCTAATCATTTTCATAACGTACTCCGGGAAAACATGGTCGTTTAGCGTAAAGGCAATCATAATTGTGTGATTATTTGACATCTCATTATTAGTAATATGGCAAGACAGAAAAGTTACTGGTGTTATGATTCGCTGTAAGTCAAGTAGATAACCGAAATATCGATAGACATACTACTTATTCTCAATAATTGTTCACTTTGTCATAACCAACTAAGCTCAATATAAAGCATAAGCGTCATGTGTATCATGTCAAACTAGTAATGTAAGATACAAAAAGTTAATATGGAACTCAAAGCGAATTATGTAGTGTTTTCAATCTTAGTCGGTAATAAAGCGAGACATAAAAACCGAATACTATAAAATAATTTTTAAAGATTATTAAACACTTAGTATTTCAAGTGGAAATGTATATCTAAAAAATATAAATTATGTAGGTATTGTTAATCATCTAGATCGCATGGCATTCAGCAGATCATCTCCCTCATCTTACTGCACTACTGAAACGTTAAACTCATATGGTGGGGAGGAGTAGTTTCAGTGTATTAAAAGAAAACTTCTCATCTGAATATAAAATTCAGATTTCACTGAGGCCAAATTATTTAATGTTGGATTGTGAGTCAAGATCCATATATATTATTTTTGCTGATTAACAAATCAGAAACACATGTACAATTAGTCCACAGAATTATGTCAAGGAATTTAATGAATAAATTGAATAAAAATTACTTGCCTTTATTTAAAATAGTTTGAACCAACCATATCACTGAATAACTTGTGTATATATTTTATTTTATCATTACTGGTTACATAGTAATTTGAGTGTCAAGTGCATAGTGTTTCCTTGTGATTCCATTAAAATTGTAATCTCATCTTGAAGTAACAAAGAGGGTTTCCTTTCAACCTTGTTTGACCTTTTCTTTCCAAACATAACAATTTCTAAAAAAAACACGTCTATTGTGAAAAAAGTGATAAAATGAATTCACTTTACTCAACAATTTATATATAATTATATCTGACAGAACAAATAAGTGAAACTATTATTTTGTTCTATATGACTTCAATAGTGTGAAAATTCGTACATTTTAATTTATAATAACTAAGGTATACTAGAAAGATTAGAGGAAATTAGATTTACTGGAAAAAATATAAATTCTTATTTCAATTAAGTAAACGTGAAAGATTAAAGTTTCATATATAGAACAGTTTGCAATAACTGAACAAGATCTAGAGAATTGACTTGTTTCTTAGATGTTTTCTTATGAAAGGGTTTAATCGTTCAGATCCGTTTGACTTCATTAGAAGATAAGAAAAAAAACACTTTGAAAAGCAAATGTGTTAGAAATTTGACATTGAAATAATAATATAATAGATTTAATTAACTGATGAAGAAGGCATTACTAATATCGTACATTTAATCTGGATCATTTTTAATTTCTTAAGTAAACTTATCACATTTGCGTCATTATTAGAAGCAAACTTTTATTAAATTGAAAAAAGACTTTTTCTTAGGAAGTACATTAAACTTGTAGTCACTTAATAAATAATAATTTATCGCCATATACCTTCTGGTTATTTATGGGTAGTTTTGTTATTTTGGCTGTCCCACTCTGTATATGATACTTGAAAACGTTTTTCTAGATATTTCAGTCATACACTTATTTGACAATTATACACATATGTAGGCCAAAAATATATTGAATTCGCATTACTGGAATACTAATGTAATTTGAGTTTTTATTCAATTTAAAAGATATCTGCATTCATAACCAAGCACCTTTCATTACGTATGAGAAACAAAATGTCGCTAAGTTCAGATGCATCTAAAGAATTTATCTTATACCTGGGTATTTAAGCAACATACAAACTGACGTTTTAGATACATTGTAAACAGTTATTTTCTGCTGAGACTCATATTTGGGTTTTGTAGTTTGCTCACTCACCCAGCAAGAATTTCTTCCACTTTATGTGTTTGTGAGTAACAGTTTCAACCATTAGAAGTTTGATTTATATGACTTCACCTAGTTGTAAATCTACATCATTTTACTGAGATATAGATCATTCAAAAGAAAATAAAGATGAGCTTCAGATAATTTCAGTCTGTATATGCAGTTGAGTAGTTTTTTATAACCCTAACATCCTGATAAATAAGACTAAATATCATTACTGATTTCCGTTAACTAATAGGCTTCATGTGATTTGTTCCAAAGGTTGTTTGAAATCCTCAACTTGAGTACTAAATAATCATGGGAATAAGGACTAACTATTTTCGATACTGACCCTTTTGATTTATTAACAAAAGAGTTTACGATTTCATTAGTAATTTTTTAATTGTTGTCTAATTTTGTTTCTGATTTACTTCACTCAATGCTACAAACATATTATAGCAAGTAAACGTCAAATACATGAGCACTTACAACATCCAATACCTCCACCATACTGGCATTATCATCATAATGAAGTACAGCCCCAACAACATCACCATCATCATCCGGCGTGTGCATCACTTATCGGTAAACATGAAGCGACAGCAAGGTCGACGAAAGATCAACCACAACCAACTATATACGGATCTGAATTCTTAGCGACAATTATCCTCACATTTTTACAAAAGTTTTGAAACCATCTAGTAGTGGTAAATCTGAACCAAGGGTGACATCGACAAAGAAGAAAGTTACTTCTAAACCGTCAGGATTATCAGGTGATCAAATAAAACCGGCCGTTACACCTGACTTCACCGAGAACAATAAAGAGAGTGATGAAAAAATTACCAAGCAAACTAAGAAGCCATCGAGTAAATCTTATTCAGATGGACGATTCAGAGGGGATATGGTAAGGAAACGTTGTTTATTCTTTGTTGTATCTCAAGTTTCATTAGGTAAATGGGATTTTACATTCTGATCTCCCCTTGAAGTTTCATGAAATAAACAACAAAAATTATTTGAAAAATTTATGCAAATTTTGTCGCCAATTACTGAGCTCTAAATTAAAAAGAGTGATATTAAATCACACGTAACAGAACACCTTTTATCAAATAGCATAACAAAACATTCTCTTAGATTATTTAGGTCTAAAATGCAGCAAGATCCATCTTCAATACCATTCTCATGCTTTCCAATTAAGTACCAAAAGTCATTAATGAAAAGGTTCTTATGTTTGAATTTATTGTAATGATTGTTTATACAACACGATAGTCACAAACATCATAACGGTGTTTCATGCGTTTCATTCAAAATGTGTACTAGGGTATCAGCGAAATAAGTCAAATTATATCTTAATAGTGTAGAGATAAACTACACCTCATGTACCGATATTTAGTAAACTCGATTACTTCAACAAGCTTGTATGACCAGTGGTGATTGAATAGGAATGTTATTTATCAATAAGGTAACGTGTTAAGCAGTAATTTGACATTTACCATTATGCATTTTTGACCTTTGTAAGAACTCCAGCTAAAAAATACACAACAGAAACAATCAGTAGCATAATATTGCTATATTATTTCTTTAATTTAACCAATACACAACGTGAACACTAACCATTTGGAGATCAGCTATTGCATTACATATAGATATTGTTTGAATTGGTACCAAATATAATTTTCATTTTATCACTATCATTTAACTTATGGTACGTTGAAAAATTCCAGTTCACCGTTTTCCAAGACCCATATTCATCACTTTATATCGGCCATTTGAGAATTTTGGAATTTATATAGAACTAGGATGACATGTAGACCTACATCATGAATCTATGCAAACGTATTCAAATAAAGACACGAACATGCACTACAGAATCAGTTTTCCTACTTATTTAGCAGAATAATAAATTAGGTATAGTTCGCAACTACATATTAGACAGTGAATCTAAAATCTATCTTACTTCAAATCTTCATTTTCAGAAAAAATGACATTTCGGAAAATATCGTGATTGAATCAAAAGACTTTGACATTGGCATGGTTATATATATAGTACAAAACCTTAATGCGGCCATGATGTAAAATAATTTATCTATTTCTGTGTTATCCAGCCGACTACATATACATAATATATCATAGCTGCATAATAATAATAATAAATATTTTAAATGTTTAGGGCAATTGGTGCATAAATAATAACATTTACGCTTACTTTTATTTTTACATAAATTTTGTTTCGAATGAAATTACCTTGAATAACTGGTTGTCATTTATCATGTCGGTAAAGAGTTAACGAGGAACAGTTTATGTTTATGTACTTCAATCTACTTTATTAGGCCATTAGATACAACCCACTTACCCAGACTTAAGTAAGCACCGATCTCCATCAGAATTCAGTAAATTTTTCAATGGGTGATATATTGAAAGAAACACACAATATTAAGAAATATTATAGTTTGAAATATCCAAATAAGTGAGTTCTTTGTGGTTATTATAGTTTACAATGAAACCTCATAAAATATTTTTGTGATGACTTAAATCAAGTTATTATCTCGACAGGAATTCACTAGAACATTTATTTGTTTCCTTTTTTCCGAAGTTATTAGAAATGTGACGGATATCAGATTAGATTTTTACGTTTGTTTAAAAAAATCTGACATATCATATGCCATCTATTTAACTTACATCCGTACGAATAATAAATATATAATTAATGCTTAGTTTGAAACTTTTTTGTATTAAATAATCTTTCGTTAAATCTAATGTGTGAATTCGACCACATGAACCTATTTTTAAGGTTTGTTATTCGATTGTTCCAAGTGAACTGTCATGTTTCGAAAAGCTTGTACATTCTTTCGTATGTAGTAATATACTTTATTTCGATTATTAAAACGTTTCGATATTTTTGTAGAAAAAAGGATTTTATCATTTAGTATTTTATGTAAAACGTTGTGATGAAAAATACAACATTAATCATTTTACACTCAATAGATCTTTTAACAAGGGTAAAAAATGATGAATGAACATTCTAATGTTTACAGTTGTATGACTATAAGTATTTGAAAAGTGATAGATAAACTCAATGAAATGTCCATTTTAATACCCTTCATGTTAAGTAAAAATGTTTTCACAGTCAAAACTAAATTGATTCATGAATGGACTACGAACTCTTATTGGTTAGAATATACGACTTTCAAAGATGGTTGCTTATATAAATGCTACCAGGTGTTTAACACAACCAATTCAGAATCTTTTCAATGGATTGATTTCTTGATATTTTAATTGTTTTAAATCAAATTATTTGCAAAATTTCATTCTGTTTCTTTTCATTCAAAAGGCTAACGTATTTAAATAAATTGACCTGATTAAATCTAAGTATGTTTTTGACCAGATTTAGGTTAACAGTTAAAATAAGACGAAATAATGACAAAGTACGAGTAAAACGCAAAAAAAACTGACTACTTCTAGCTTTAATATTAAAGGCTTAACATTAGGAAGCTCCACAGACTAAATAATCCTCACAACTCCCTATCAATACCGGATATTCTGTATTCACAAAAAATATGCTTAAGTCCTTAAATATATATATATTCACTATAATAATAAAATTTTACAGGGAAAAAAATTTACTATTGTTTTCTCTACTTTGTAACATTTGAATTTGTTGAATATGGAAATGAAGCAAATCTCAGTTTTTGTCATAAAAATTTTAGTATTGTTAACAGTTATTTTCCAAACAGTTTTGAAAATTATCTATTTACTAGGAGTCGTTTATCTCAGTGAATAGTGTCAAACGCTTGTGTGTATGTTATGAAATGTATAGATGACCTTTAAATGTACTATATAAATGATTAAGTTTATTTCGTTACTCTTGTTATCATTTTCACTTCATATTCAACGCACCTCAAAACTACAACATTTGAGTACAAAGATTAATTCAATAGAATAATCGATAACTATAGAAATGAATTTTCGGGATTAAATTTCAATGGGTAAAATTGATATGACATAACGATAAATTTAACATAGTTTGGTATCAGAAGGGGTTTCGTGGAAATTATAATAATTTAAACAGTTAAGATCGTGAGTCAATTAAAGCTAGACCACCATGGAAAACCTGGAAGCACTGGACGGCTCACTAGTGACTGGCTTCAAGAGATATATCCTGGAGTTATAGTGAGAAGCAGTGACCAGTGGAGTTCAACCGGGTCAGTTGTGAGGTAGTAACTCACTAACGACAGTGGTGGATGTGTCGCTCAATTTCGTGGATTAGTTGAAGTTAGACATTAACACCGTTGGATGTGGGCTCAGTGGTCTAGTTGGCTAAGCGCCTGACGCGAGACTGATAGTTCCTGAGTTCACGTCCCGCGAGACGGGGTCGAGGATGCGCACTGCCGAGGGATCCTGCAATAGGACGAGACGGCTGTCCAGTGCTCCCAGGTTTTCCATGGTGGTCTATCTTCAATTGACTCATGATTTCAACTGTTTAAGCTAACACAATTTCCGATCAATGCTTAGATATTAAATATCAGATTCAAAAATAATGTGATTAAGGAATATATTACTGTTTACTGTTTTGAGAACTTAAAGCATTATTATTGTAGATCTACTTCTCCGTCGTAAGAGGTTTCTAACTTGGAAAACTATTTCTTGGTCAACGTTTTAATCCTGACTGGATAATTGATCAATTAGTTAACTTAATGACATTAGTAGGTTAAATCTCATTTAAAACGCTACTGTATTATAACTATAAAAATCAGTATTCCTTCGGAGATAAGCAGTGTCATTCACATTATAGTGAAATTAAGTATTCAGACATTCGTATGAGTTATACCTTTAGTAAAAGCAAGCTTATGTACTCAAGTGAGAATACTGAAATACAAATATTTATGAGGATCACGTGCAACAGAAAGCGAACAGTTTGAATTACATGACAATCGGAACTTCAGCAATAATTCTAATATCAACATACCAGCCATTTAGCGTCCTCTAGCAAGGTTGTTTTCTACAAGATGGGTTGCTGACCCCATGCCAAACCCTCCTCCTTTACCGGGGCTTGAAATGAGCAGTAACGCTAGGAGAGACACAGGCGTTAATATAAAAATAAACTGACAAACTATTTTTGAAAACTTTACCAGGGAAAACTGTAACATCGTACAGTAATTCGTCATTAGTTAGATTAAACTTGTGATAACTTTTTTCCAGAAATATTTATTTCATTACTTTTTCCTACTTGAACAATCTTCCCACAAAGTATGCTCTTTATGCTCATTAGAGAACATAATATTTTAAACACCAACTTAGTGAGAGATTTCATGATTGACAGCAGTCAGCCTCATCTAGTTCACGACAAATTCCAACTTTAACTGAAAATTGTTCGCTTTAAGTACCATTTTCAAAAAAGCATTCAAATTAGAAATAACATTTTTTTCTCTGTCCTTAATTTATTCGTTATAACCAATCATTTACAGAGTATGTTATTTTAAGTGATTTACTTCTACAGCAGTCTGTTTTCATTTCATTTGACTGAAACCATGTGTCAATTGGATAAACTGAATCTTTTAAAAAGAAATACTACACAAAAAAAACAGCTCTTCGTTTTGTGTTGAGAATAATCTTGGATGACATCCAATTTACGAATTAGATACAAAGAAACATCATAATCGTGACCACATTTCTTGATCGCTTTAAGACATTTTTATTAGTTACAAAGCTTGTTTTATAGAATACAAGTTAATACTAGTTTAATTATGGATAAAGTGAAGAATATCGATCATTGTCCTTTCACTAGACAAACAGACAGTGTAAATCATTTTCCTTTTCAGTTTCTTTCTATTCTCCGTCTTTTGTCATTAAGTCAAGAAAAGCCGCAAACATATTAACAAAATATTGACAACTAATTTTCGGACTAAACCACTACACCCTTTTAAAACAAAATACCTTTGAGCTACGTTAGTCTTATTTTATACATTTATTTTTAACAGCGAAGCAAGCATACAAATACTTTCTTAAACATACTTTAGTGTCGGAAACTAATTCTCAAGTCGCTAAGCTTTCTGGATTGCTTGATTTTGAGTCATATTATGGCATGTACTTGCTATCGATTTCGGTTATATATTTTGAAAGTTAGGCTTTCCTAAGCCTCCTAAATTATTTTTCATAAAAGTTACACAAAATCTTAAATTTCACTAATAATTTAGATAATGTGAATGCTTCAATATTCTCAATCCTGGAAAATGCCTTCACATTCCGTTCACTGTATTGCTTTAAATACTGTCATTTTTTTAACAGAAAAAGTAAATGATAAACAATTTTTATATTTATTGCAAATTGCATAAGTGAGTGTGATTCAACATAAAATTCAGCAGAAGTGAATCAATAAATCAATTGAATAAGTCGAAATTCCTCACACTTCATAACCAATAAGTGTGTTTGTAACATTACTTCATTTGTTAAAGTTCACTTGATTTTCTCTGATATTACCTGTCTATTAAATAGGATCCAAATGAGACTTTTGAAAAACTAAGAGAAGACTTACGATCAGCTGGATTCACTGTGGATACAAATCGTCCATATTTGAGTACAACAAAATCAAAGAATAATAAACAGCCTGCAGATGGTTATGTACAAGAGCCTAAAAAGGTACGTTTTTCAGGTTATCCTACATAACATATTATACCAACAGTACTTGTTAATCATGAACTTGATCAGCATATGATGTTTGATAGAAATTAGAAAGCAAAAAGCCTAATTCATCAATTTGTGCTTAAGTAGATCATATTACATGGTTTATTGCTAAATGCATTAATATTTTTGTGGTTTATAAAATCATTTTCTAACTGAAGATAGAATAAACTAAGCTAATCTTCCATGAATTAATTAGGTTCCACCGAGATAATTCCTGTCTTCCAATCATTACTGAATTTTTCTAGTCCTCCTCGTCTTTCAAAAATATATATATATCACCAGACTATTTTTATATATTCATATTTACTTGTTATTGATCGCTTAAATAAATATCTATAACCATGCTTTTCAAATCCAATACCAAAAATGTTGATTTAAGCGGCTTCAGCTTACAGTGTTCAAAATTATATCGATCATGTAGCAATTATAAAAAAATCTATTGTCAATAAAGATCAACGTGAAAATACAGTTAGAGTTATATTCGGAAGACATGTTTTTTTTGTTTTTGACAATTCTCTTTTTGTAATAACAAGTAAGTCATATATAATTGTCAAAGTATTTTTCGGAAAGCATGGGGTATATATATATATATCCCTTAATATTCTATATTGCTGCTGTAGAAGAAATATATAACGCAATATTTATTTACATTTTTCTTCGAAAAGAAAACTGATTACTAACTTTCTTAAATGTAATGAATTTTAACAGGAGAAAAATTATTGTAGAAAGCATTTTTATTTTTATTTCATCATTGATATGCACATACGATCTCCTTGATTTTCTATGTATATGCAAGATTGTTTCTTTAAGCTACTAACTCTTTACTGGTTACTTTTTTTATTCTTACATCGGTGAGGATTTAATTTTCCTCTGTCTATGCTTATCTCTTATCAAGACTACTGAAAAGATAACAACAACAAGAACAGAAAACCACTGTTTTCACCATATATACAATAAAAAAGTGAAACATTTTTCTCTTGAATTACATCTCTATTCCTACTAGATAAGAATTGGAGGTAATATTGTAACTCCACTCTTAAACTGAGGAGGTACTAGCACGAGGTAGAGAATGAACTTTGTCGATTGTTTCGTTTCCTAGTACTATAACTTACAAAATAGTACAAGTGAGGTAAAACATACATAAAATAGTCAAGTTAATGCAGTCAAAAGATTAGATTCAGAATTACGAGAATCGATCTCAGTGATCAGATCACAAAACAGACTAATAATATCAAAATATGAGAAATTATATTTTTGTGTTGGAGCAATAAAACCTGAAACTTGTTTCCTTTGTCGAAATATCAAGTTTTGAAAGAATATTTTTATTTGACAAGTCAGATAGATTTAAAATAATAACTAATATAAAAAGAAGCCTCGTAGAACATAAGGAGATTTTTTCCCGGGATAGCAATGATTTCTGCAGTAAACGTCTTCCAATAAGCAAAGTCTAGTATTGTAGAGAAAATAACATATGGTTTTTATGAGCCTAAAGTAACCAGGTGCTTAAGTTCAAACCAATCTGCACATCACCTATCTCATTTTAACAATCGCAGTGACATATTTTGTGATGCTACCAAACATTTTTATCAACCAGACTTTACCTCTGAATTTGTTGACATGTTTCGTTCGAAATAACATTAATATTATAAACAGACTGTTTTGTGTAACATGATATTACCAAACAACCAATATGTAGCATTTTATTTACTGGACTTGAAATATAATAAACTAAAAATTCATAATCTCTACTTACAACGGTAAAAACTGTTTCATCATTTAATTACCATCAAGAAAGATGTACTGAATTGTTCTGAAGGTAATATTCAGTATCAAGTACATTGCGACGTTATACACAGAAATTACATCAAATAAAAAGTATGTTTGTTTTATTCCTGAAAACTTAACTATGAACAAGTAATACAAATTAAATCAGTATTTGAAAAATACTTCACGAGTAATTCATTCCTAAAGAACTGAGTTGAAAATAACCAAAATTATAGGTCCAACAGTGAACAGTCAGAGTTGGATAATTTAGTAAAACAAACTAGCATAACTATCTGAGAGTTATGACTACGTTTTAGCTTTTGAAATTGCTCACAAAATGTAATAATTAACATTAAATATATTATTCATGTGACTGAACTAAAAGTGGATTTCTCGATATTCTAGTTGAGCGTCACAAAATATGGGATGACATCGTAACGCGCCTAGTACACTGAATTATTACACACCAACTGAAGAGGAAATTCATGTTACTGTATTCTAAATAATTGGTCTATCTGTATCCTACTTGTTACGAGACAAGTATGTACAGCGTTTTTCTTTCGCATAATGGTATGTGGACACCGTTGAGGATTTCGATAATGAAGTGATAAACCGCTTCGTATCAATTGGCTTATAATAGTTATTTGTTTGACATTAACCCATTCAGTGAAGTACTTTGAAACTTTATAAACTTTTAACGAATCATTTATCTTTGGAATCAAGGTATAAACGTTTCATTCTTTCCTGCTTTATTTTACGTATAACCGTGAAACATGTAAATGAAGTAAGTATTTGGTCAACTGAGAAAGTTACTAAAATGTATCAGGCTCCCCATTGTCAGCAATTCGGACAGTCTTCTCATCACTTTTTAGTACCTTAGTAACAATGTATTTAAAAGAACAAATTTATATTTATTCCCGTTTTCTATTCTTATTCTTAGATTCGATTAAAAAATCACCAAATTTGTTATCTATAAATACTACACCTAGTCTTCCAAATAGGCTCTAACAAATTACATTACATGTATATGTGTATATAAGGGTTAGATATTGGATAAATTTATGCTGTTCATTGACTACATTAATTTAAAATATTCATTTCGAAATTTCTTTTAAACACATAAATGTTCAGGCTGGAGACAAAACTCACTCACAGAGTAAACCTAAACGAACAGATGTGACAGATGATCGAGTAGTATCCTCCAATTACAGTAGATTGACAACTAGCAGTACCACTTCTACGACTACTACTACTACAACTACTTCCATCACTGTGCTGCTGGTACAGTTCCAAGGGAATCAATAAAATCCGATGCAGTGGAAGAAATAGAGTTGGCTACTTCGACAGGAAAAGTGGATATTTCAAATCTTATTCCAACATATGATTCAATGTCAGGTTAGAGTTGATAACTCTTAATTCTGTCATTATTAGCATTTTACATAAATTAAAATGCAACCTTCCTTTTAATCAATATGATTTTTATCTGTAGTTAAAAGGCTTAATAAATCTCAAACAATTAGATTACTAAAAGTTCCTATATTGTGAATTAGAACGAGATGTATAAACGAACAATGTCGTTTTCAGTTAGATCATCAGACTTTAATATTCAAGAATATTTATATGCAAATACGAAATCACTAAACCAATCAAGCTAATTTATGAACCCGTGATAACAATGGAATAGATCACATAAATAAATTTAATAGGTAAAAAGTACAAATTGATGAAATGATGTCAGGTGTACTAGTTGTGATAAGAATAATAAAGGCTTGAATCAATCTATGTTGGTATTAGGTCAGTGACTTGGAAAAATAGGCACACATTCACTTGGTGTTGCTTTACTTGTTTCTTCCCACACACATTCATTAAAAGTTATAAAATTGCGTAATAAGAAGTGTTCAGATCATTGGACAGTAAAATGTATATTTGAGAAAGGGGGGTGAAGAAAAATAAACCAACAAAGAGTATGGAAAATAATAATGAATAAAATCTTTTGTTGTTTTTACGTTAAAAGGTTTTGTGTAGAATTTAGAAATTTATTCAATCATTGTCTGTTGTGTAATAAGTGATTAGGGGAATCAAGTAATGAATCTTCTTAAATCAAGGCTACGAACATTAGTTATTAAAGCTTGGAATAAGTGATTAAGTAAATTCCTTTAATTTCATCTAATAGACATTAAATAAAGGATAGAGAACATGGTGTTATACTTGTGTCTGTTAATATTATGTCTGTTAAGAAAAATATCAAGTCATTACTAATAGATTAATACAAATAAGCGCTATCAGAAGGAGTTTTGTGGAGATTTTTAGAAATTGCACTGGTTGAAATCATGAGTCAATTGAAGCTAGAACACCATGCAAAACCTGGAAGCACTGGACGGCCGTTTCGTCCTAGTATGAGACTCCTCAGCAGAGCGCATCTACGATCCCGCCCCCGCGAGATTCGAACCCAGGACCTATCAGTCTCGCTCCAGGCGCTTAACCAACTAGACCACTGAGCCAGCATCCAACGGTGTTAATTTCTAACTATGCTGAGCAGTCCCATACTAGGACGAAACGGCCGTCCAGTGCTTCCAGTATTTGCATGGTGGTCTAGCTTCAATTGACTCATGATTTCAACCTGTGAAATTTATTCAGCTATGCTAATGACTAACTTTATTAATAATTATTCTGAAACTTCAAAGATTTATATGCGTATAGAAGTTTATGAGGTTCATTTGTATAGAACATTTTGATTTCCAAAGTCAATCAATTGATAATTAAGCAAACTTTATCGAATTCAAAAAAATATAATAAAAAACTTTCCAAATAAAGAAATGTCATCTTGAGTATTATTTTTTCGGAAAATGTAACACGAAGTTAATGATATATTCAAGGGTAAGTAATAATCTGAGATTCCGCCGTATGAAGGTTTCTCAAACAGCCTCTTAGTGATAATTTGTGAATATCAGTTTTTTAACTAATCGTTAGCCATTATATATCTGGGCTTAATTACCTAGAGCTTTATTCACTTTATGTTGCCCAACCATCTTAAATTGGGATATGTTATATGAGGAATAAATAGGATGTACAAGGATCTCATAAATAAAATCCATTTATTTATGATCGTGAATTGATCAAAATTGGACAACTATTAAAAACCTAGAAGCACCATTGGACACCGGTTTAGTGGTCTAGAGATTGAGTGTCTACGAGCAACCTTTGGTCCTGAGTTCGATTACTAGTTGCGAGGTGATGAATGTGCACTACTGAGTCCCATACTAAGACAGAGTGACAGTCCAGTCCTTCAAGGTTTTCACTGGTTGTATAACTTTGATCGGTTTGTGATTTCAGTCAAATTCAACAATTCACAACCCTATTCTGGTAAAATTCATTTTATGGAGTCTAGTTAGAATTAGATAGCTAATAGTACAATGCTTTTTCAAATATAAAGGGTACACCTGAACTGATTACAGTCCATCTTTTATTTTATTGATAAATGATAAGTAAAGAACAGATGATTTTGATATAGTGAATAAGTCAATAGTAATGTAATCATCGTGTGCAAATAGAGTATATGATGTACCTACAAGAAAACGAGACACATTATAGGTATTTCAAAAATATGAGGATAGAATGACAGATCTGTTATGTATTTGTTTTGTTTGTATTTTTAATTCACTCAGAGTCTGCTAACTCTATAAGTATTATATAAATAACCCACTACTTATTTTTAGTGCAAAAATTTATTCATGACAGGTGTTTAACTAATTACAACATAATATAATTACACTGTTTATTCAATGCTATATATTCAAATGGTTTATTAAACCTTTACTGTACAACCTTCATTTATATGTTCCTTACCAGTTTTTCAGTCTAGTGATTTTTTTATCATATATTTCTTTAGGTATACACCCATGTACTCCTATATACCTAGATTCTGAATCAGAAGAAGAAATGATTACAAATGTTAGAAGGATGAGTGTTGAAGAAACTGTTGAAGCACCAGACACAAAAGATTCACAGGTTTGTAAGAAACAAGTTGAAGAGTGGATAGAGAAAAGTCAGGCAGTATACAATAAAGAAGAAGTATCTAAAGATACAGATACTCAGCCGTTACGAAAAGAAGATAAGCAGCATACAGAAATAAAAGGTGCAGTTGATTTAAGTCTTGAACATAATGTTGAAATCAAATCACATTTGGTAAGTGAACATTCTCAAAGCAATTTAATTCAGCGTTCACCGAGATCTCATTCACCATCACTTCCTCTTTCATGTCATTCAGTTGAACCGGGTAGTACAGATTTATCATTCAGTTCTAACTTATCGACCTCAGCAAGTTCATATTCTATGCTTTCTGGCTATGATTACACTCCAAGTGTAGGTTGTTCATGTGAACGTGTTCACAGGCATGGTTACGATGACTATTCTTTATCCTCTTTTACTTCTTCGTCTTGTGAATATCCTCATCATACACATAGATCTCATCATAGTCGACCTAGCTCTTTTCATAAACAGCATGGTTACTATCGTCATCAAACTTGTTACTGTCATCGTTGCACTTCAAGATCAAGAGATGGTCGTCATAAACGCCATGCATCAGAACATCAATATCAAAGGCATACTTTACATAAACACCCGGAACGTCATCACTCGCATCATTCAGATCATCATCGCTATCACAGTCACAGTCATCATTCATCTGGTAAACACTCGTCACTTTATTATCCTCATCATCATCATCGTCATCATCACCATCATCATAAATCTGAAAAAGATCACAAACATTATCATTCAGATGAACCCAGTGATGATAAATCGACAACTTCAAGCAGTAAATCATTGGAGAAGATTTCACTAGATGAAAACGATCTTCTAAAATCTAACTTGAAATATTCACCAACCATGATTTCAGCCGAAAAGTTAACAGACGTTAAAAATTCACAAAAGAACTTTTATCCAATTTAAAATTACAAGAACGTAAATTAAAACAAGAATTAGCTAAACATCGTGCACTGACAGAGAAACTAGTTAAAGTTAAACGTTTTAATGAAAAATTACTAACTATTGGCAAAGTTAGTTTATCAAATCCGATCTTAAATCTAACCAAGTCAAAAGAAAATAATGTTGTTTGTGTTGCTACTGAACGTGAAGTTGATGATAACACTACTGAAAATATTTACAATAAAGATAGTATCGATGTGACCCATTCAAAAACTACACCTTCAGAGTTAAATGACGAAGTAATTTTATCAAAAGAACAAAATAAAGATGAAATAAGAAATTCACATCGACGTTTACATCAACATAAAACATTATCAAGATCATCATCTCATAAATTGTCCAAATCTCGATCTGATCACAGTAGTGCTAGTCGGCGTCGATTACGAAAAACCGTAAAACATGATCCGGAACTGTCAACTGATGTTCAAGGGACTACTCAAGAACCACACATTAAATCTAGACTAACAATAGAAACAAATATCAATAAAGAGTAAGTTTATTTAAATCTTTTATCATATTTGCCTATATGATATTCCTGAGTAAAAGTTAACAATTGACATGTTAACTTTGTTTTCTTTTTACACTACAAAGAAGAAAAAATTCAGGGAAAATATGGTTAAAAAAAGTACAGGAATATAACAAAGGTAGTGTGTAAAGTTGAAATGAATTATTTATGTTTAATTAAAAGCGTTGCGTTTATTAGGATTTTTAGCGATTATACTAGCAGAAATTAAACGATCAGCCGAAGTACATCATTCACTACACATGTCATGTTGCATATCAATTTTGATCATCATTATTTTTTCTTGCATCTTGGAGAATGGTTTCTTGGATAAATATTATTTATTTACAACTGACATCTAAGTCTACTAATCCCTGTACAATCATAATTACGCAAGTTATTTCTCCATTATGACAGTTACAAATATATCCATCTAATATCTAGATATTTATTCCAGAATGTAAGCAACAGATGCATTCATACTGCATTCAGCTACCTTATGAATTATGTAGTAGATTCCCTGACAGCAATAGAATTTACTTATGACATGATCATGATCTATAATAAGCGGTATTACATTACAATCGCTTATTGATTCTTAAAAAGTGATGAACCAAGCAACAACAGTTGAGTTATTTTGATTGTTATTTTAAATATTATTACATTAATTCGGTTAAATGCCACAACTATACAGCTTAAGCTAAATTTGTTACACTAGAGAAATACCAATCATCACTATATGAAGGTTCATTAAACTGAAAGAGAAAGACTGATTTGAATCACTGAACTGAAATGGCGAAAAAGTAGTTGATTATCTAAAAATTTTATTTCGATTGAATTAAGTACCTCATTCAACGCTTAGTCACCTTGTAAAACTGGACATTTTATGCAGCATTACTGAGAGAATAATATATTGGACAGATGATTCATTATATGTAAATATCAATAACAGAAAATGTTCCCTAGATTTCTTTTATGAGAAATATGTATTTTCCGCATGAGGATTTATGGAGATTGTAGTATTTTGACAGTTGAATTCACCACTCGATCTCGGCTAGACCACCATTGAAAACCTGAAAGCACTGGAGTGCCATTTCATCTCAGTATGGGGCTCCCTAGCAGTGCGTATCCACGATCCTGCACACTGTTGCACAATATCATGTATTGGCTGAAGTTAGACATTAACACCGTTGGATGCCGGCTCAGAGACCTGGAGACTAAGTGTTTGCTAGCGAGCCCGAAATTCCGCGGTTCGAGTCCCGCATGAGGGATTGTAGATTCGCACGGCTGAGGTGCCCCGTACTAGACGACATGGCCGCCTAGTGCTTCCAAGTTTTCATCAGTGGTCTAGCTTATATCGACTCATGAATACAGTTGTTATAATACGTGTTTGATCATTAAAATGTCCATACTGGCAAATGTATATTAGTTCACTTGGTATCGTTTTACTTGAACCTTCCCATTGATGTTTTAAGACGGAAATTGATCAGTCTCTTATTGGCATATATGCATACTGTGCGTATGCCTCGATATTGCCCTAATTTACAAGCATTATAAGCAAAGATGGATAGTGGCTATCCATCTTTGCCTATAATAACTGTATATTAGGTTCTTATAAAGAATCGAGTTTGATTGCAGAGGTTTAGAAAACGGAACTAAGCTTTCCAGTTGAGAGCTCCGCGGAAATATCTATCAAAAATGGAACCTGGAAAGAAGTGGCCTAGAAATTAAGGTGGTACCTTTATACCTCCAAGCCACAAATCTATCTCAATGATTTTATTCAACGGTTATGACGTATCAACATTTTCGTTTCAAAATAGACATGAATGCTTGGTAAGCGGGACTAAACATCCACATGGTAATGATTATTTATTATAAGATAATCTTAACAAAGACAAGTAATCCATCGTACTTCAGTCTAGTTATTAGGAACTAACTCTCTAGAGTTAAATTGATTACATTGTAAGGGCCGTCAAATCGATTATATGCAATTTTGCTGGATAAGTTTGTAGCAGGATTCTTTGGCCTTCAATACCGTTAAAAAAACTATAAAAAGTAAGGGAATACATGGGATTATTGTAGATACAGTGACCTAGCTTAGTTTGATACAATTTATTACACAACACTTCTGCGTTAAGGAGTGATTGTGAATTATACTAAACATATCAATCATCAGTCCAGTACGAATTCAATGAAAGTGAAAAGAACTAGCAACTGTTCTTCTTTAGCAATTGACATATGTCTTTTTTGTGTTTTATGAACTCTCCTTGTGTCTTAAGAGTGACTTTATCCATATAGTTGCTTGAATTTCTAAACCCAAACTGAAGGAAATTAGGAAAAAACATTGGAAGTGGATAGGACATACATTACGGAAATCACACAACTGCATCGCGAGGCAAGCCCTAACCTAGAATCCTGAAGGGACGCGGAAATGGGTAAGGTCAAAGAACGCATTACGTCGGTAACTAGAAACAGATATGAAAAGGATGAATAACAACTGGAAAGGATTGTCCAGGACAGGGTTAAATGGAGAGTAAACATAATAACTGAACCTTTTTGGCATTTTTCTGTGAAAGATAATCTCGGAATAGTCAAAGTGGATTACTCTTTTCGATACCCCAGAGTGCTTTTCAGCAAGTTTACAACCATTTAAATTGCTGCTTTAATTGATTTTGGTTCATAACTCATCTTGTTTTGTTCCACTGTTTTTCTCATTTCTAGATCTACGGAAACAATGGGTGACGGATTAGAGTCAAAAAATCTAGGTCAAGTTCGTCTCATAAAAGGAAGGGAATGAAGGATGTACAACACCAAGAAGGTCAAAAACATCGTTCAAAGTATGAATCAAATTGTAAGCATCATCACGACCATCGTCGGCATAAACATAGTGGTCATCATGAATCAAACGAGACAACAACCGGTAACGACAAAATCAAGGGTTAAGTGAAATGCCGAAATCTGATCAACCGGAAATCGATCAGTCAAGTCTATCTACCAGTTATAAAGAAGAAGAATCAAGTATAACTGGTTAGTTGATGTGCTTTTATCTTGACAAATGATAGGAAGCGTAGTATAGGAATCTGACGTAAAGGCTAAATAAAAACCTGACTAAATAACTTGTAAGAATTGTTGAATTTAAATAAAATTCCATACAATTAGATGTTTTTGCACAAATATGTAAGCGCTAATAGCCATTGAGACTGAAAAATAATCAATCATTCAGCATGGTCATAATAATCTTTATAAATTATACCAATATGTAGTTAACGTTTGTAAACCGTGAATCTACGTGCAATCTGATTTATTCAAAATACTGATAAGTTTAAATACTTTTTTACATTTTTTGATTTTGCTAGCCAATTATGAATTTTTTTCTTATGCCTAGTCAGAGAATTTTGAAGACTGTACAGTTCGAAAAGTGAAACATTTTTCTGACTACTTTGAGGCTGTAGTTATCGGACCAAACTTTAATGACTGAGACCCTCGCATCATTACACAAATTAACTGTGGCATCATGCCAATTTTAAACCGACCTCTAGATCTACTTTAAAAATTCAGCAACTGTATCAAAAACCTGGAAAATAAAGTAAATCCATAGGATGAAATTACTTGTCTGTATGAATTCTTTATTCTAATTAGAATTATGGTGAAAATATTTCCGCCTAGGAGACTTACCATGATATTTTACAAACACTAAACTTTGTAATCTACTGGAAATCAAAATGTTTACGTTTTCTATCAGTTTTGTCAGGCCACATTTTAAAAAAATCTTTTCAACTTTATTGTAATTCCTTATTATTTATCCTTCCATTACACTATTTACACTATTTTTCTCTCTCTCTCTTTCTTTAATATATATATATATATATATATATATATATATATATATATATTCATGCTTAATACTTGTTGTACGTTATTTCATAAGTAGATAGCAAAATATACTATAATCTCTGTCACAAGACTAGGTTAAATTTTCTATATGCAAAAATTAATGTCTGTTGTTTAAGTGAATAAATCTATACTCGATGTATGAATATTTGCAGATAAATCAAACCGTACTTGAATCTAAAAAGTACATTAGTTGACTTGGTAATACTTGCCAATTTAATAAAAACTCAGTAAAAAATATGCAATGAAAAAGTAGTGAATGGAGGACAGTTGACAGATGCATTCCAAGTAAGGACCAGTGTAAGATAAAGCAAACTACTCCCCCTTTCTCTTTCTTCTGGTGTTTGAATGGATTACGAAGGCCCTCACATCTAAAGGGAAGCACTGAATATATTGAAGAGTTTGGATGCAAATAGACGATCTCGACTTCACAGATGAACTAGCCTTCCTATCGCATACGCACCAACAAATCAAGGTCAAGAAAACGATTGTAATAGCAGACTCTGCATCAATAAAACTCAACATTCACAAGGGAAAAAGCAACATCCTCAAACACACTTGATGAAGAAACTCGAGAAGAAGAGGAAACCTTCACACATTTGGGTAGAAGCATCATCAATGAACAAGGATGATTCAACGCAGAAATAAAAGTAAGGATTGGCATAGTAAGAACAGCGTTCTCACAATTGAAGAACATATGGAACTCAAAACAACTGTCAATCAACACCAACATCACAATCTTCAATACGAACGTCAAGACAGTTCTACCACACGGAACTGAAACTCGGAGAACTACTACAACCATCATCAAAAATGTACAAGTATCTGTAAACAATCGTCTACACAGGATACCCAATGTCCGTTCATCGAATACCATCAACAACAGCCTACTGTAGGAGAGAACACACCAGCTCCCAGTTGAAGATGAATTTAGGTGGGAGATGCTGGAGGTGGATATAGGACATACAACACGGAACTCACCAAACTGCATCACGATGCAAGTGCTAACTTGAAATCGTGAATGTAAAGGGAAAGGAAGATGAAGAGACACACTGCACCGGAGATTGGAGGTAGACATCAGAAGAATGAATAGCAAGTGTAAATAACTGGAAGGGATTATCCATGACAGGGTTGGATGGAGAATGGTGATGGGTGGCCTATACTCCTCTGTGAGTGGTAACAGACGCAAGTAGGTAATAAGTAAGCAAGCAACAAAACATGTACAACACTACCATCTTTAACTTTTTTAAGATCACGAGCTGACCTAAGTTACACAATCACTGAAAAAGTGAAAGAATTGAACAATCGCTTCGTCTAATTATGAGACTTCTCAGAAGTGCATTCGACCACTAGCGACTGAACCTGGAACTTTCGGAGCCACAGCAGGGCACTTAACCTCTAGACCACTGAGCCTGAATCCAGTAACGTAAATGTGACTTTGTATAGACAATACAAGAAAATATAAGTCTTTCTGTTGAGTATTTTTCTAACTAATTGACAAATCAAAGTACATGAACCATTTTTTAAATGCGAATTTCAATTGTTGGCTATCGTTTATTGATCAACGTACTAATAATGACTTTTATCAAATTAAAGATTTTTATGATGAGAGACGAAATCTCGACTTTATTATCATTCATCAATATCCATTTTCTTCAGCTATGCTTTCATAATACTTTAATACTTTAATAATACTTTATTTTACTATAAATAATGTATTTTTGTGCTAGTTAAATGGTTTAGCAACATTTTAGGTATCTTCTGTGACCGAAATTCTTTCAAACATTACAACATTGTATTTAACCATGTAGAAGAATAATTTCGCGAACAAACAATTTATTATCAATTAGATAAAATGCTTCGTTGCCAATGCCTTTCTTTTTATAAACTTCTGAATAAAATTCTTCACCTATTAGTTACTCGTTTTCCTAATGAACCTCAGAAATTTCCAATTACCATTAAATTGTGTTATATACCTTTAATCACAGATGAAAATCGACCAGTTAATGGCCATCATGGGAAAGTTTAGTTAGTAGTTATCAACCGATTTTAAGAAAGCTTTTATTGCTTAGTTATATTTAGTAGTAAAAACGTTAACTTAGATTCTCAAATATTACTAACAAATTTGCTAACACATAGTTATTTACTGTACCATGATGATAATTTTTTTAGATAATCTTTTGATCATCACTAATAAGGCAGCAATCGAATATCAATGTGGTGAACAATCTCCAATCCATGAGCAATCTGATGTTATGAAACTTTCAACACCAACTACAACTGCCTCTTCAACATTAATAATGACTGAATCTGAAGAACAAATTCATCAATCTACTCATCCAACACCTACGCATCCAATAGAACCAAATGCAGTCAAATGCAGTTTAGAAGTGATTAATGAAAAACAAGATAATGATCAATCATCCAGTTCTCAACATCTTTCTAACGATGAGGAAAGGCAATTGGTTATAAAAAATCAAGTAAGCATGATTTTATTCAATCTAAAATTGATTAACTCATATTAAAGAATAAATGAAGAAATTGATGAGACAACACTTTTTTTCGTCTAACATTTAATTATCGTTCTGATTCATACATGAAATTATATTTATAAACAAAGAGAACGACTTATAAGATAATAAATGAGATCACGTTATTCACTAGATAGAATTTATGTTCAGACATTTACTTTAGCAACACTGACCACTAATATAAATAAATTCACATTCGACTAATATCAGTTGAATTAATTTCATTAATTTTGGCGGTTTCATCGTTTCTATTTTGACTAGTTTTAAATATATGTTTTTTGAAGTTAGTGTTAGTTAAAATATTACTAAAATCTAGAGCGTACTAGACAGATGATTTGTCCCTTGTTCGCCACTACATATAATACTCACCTATGAACTTTTATAAGATTGATCTTGTAAGGTTTATTTTTCGTGGTGAACACTATATACACTTAGACCACTAAACTGAATAACAGCAGTTCACACTTCCTATCTCAGTACATTAAAACAAAATTATAAGCATTTATTCACCAATTATCACAATGAAAGTGGCATAATTTCATTTTAGTATTCTTTCACGATCCCTATCTATTTAGTTTTCAGTTTTTTGATCGGAAGAAAATCCTTGATTATAACTATTAAAAGTCTTGTGGTTATCATGACCGATAGAAATACATATATAAGTAAAAAAATATTCTATATCAATAAATGTATATAGTCTTCATATATTCATTGTTTTTTAGAGTTCAAGCACTTATGAGAATCTTATCATTTCTGAAACTAAGCACATTGAAGAAAGTCAGTCAACACAATTGGTTGGTGATCAGACAGATGAACTACCTCCAGTCCCACCAACATGTCCACCTCCTATTAATTATACACTTCCACATGTCACTGATCGAACTGACGAGTCTGCTGATCTGATGGTTAAGCAAGCAATCGATTTATTAGATGAGGTTAGTTTTATATTAATGTTAAAATTTCATTCTAAAGTAAGCCTTAAATAATTTCTGAATAGAACTTAACATCAAATCATCATGTTTTCAGCTTTGATTAGATTCTGCCCATTAAACTTAGTAAACTGAAAACTAGACAGAGTATTCTTATATCTTGGTACTATTTTTTCAACTTTAGGCAGGTGAGTACAATCTAAAGAAATACCTAGACGTATGTTTTAATCACGTTGGTTCTCAACATTACGACGTATCTAGTGCTGCTCCTAAGATTCAAATCCACAACAACCATTGATGACTTCACAGAGTGTGTTATTCGATATGGGTCTGAATTCCGTTCACAGTTATAGGTTCACCTTGTTAATGAATGTCGAACAGCAGAAAACCTATGTTCAGGCATTCAATTTGCTTGTCTTCAACCACCAAACAAGTAAAATCTTGGGTTTAAGAATAAATTTTGATTTATTTATTATATGTCTATTCATTTTTTGTGGAGAACTTTAAAACCAAAAGTCGAAACACTAATAGAGCACATTTTTGACTGAAAATATGTTTACACAAGTCATTCTCTAAAATACATAACATTTCCCCTCTTTATCTGAAAAGGATTTAATTTTCAAGTTCTTCTTAATTTTTAAGGACTTTGGTGGTGAAACAATTATATTGGTGTGTTCCGCACATTTGTTCAGGGCGCCAGCCAAAATAGTGAAACCTTAATAGTGATCCCTGTAACTACGGCAGCCAATGAAAAGTGTTCAAATCTCTCAGATATATTTATGTCATTAAGGCTACAGACAGTGTGTTCTTTTGATCTTCAACATAACCTTAGGGTAGTTCTCAATAATTCTTTTATAATTACATTTAAATTTCGGAATTGGATCTCACATTTCTGTAATATAATTGTTAGCTTCAATGTAAGTTATAAAAGCGGACCATTACCATTATTATAATGATTAACAGTTCACTGAAAAAATCTTTAATAAGTCATGATAAAATGTTTATATTCAACAAGTTAATTCAAAGACATTTCAGTAAATTTTCAGATTTTGCAAACCAAAAGTGATATTGTTTCTATAGTTTGAACATAGCTCTTTCAGTATGTCAAACATTACATTTTCGAATGTGCACAAGATTTCATATCCATACGATCTTAGAATTATCATATCATTACACTATTAACATTATGCGATGCTCATTCGTAAAACGTTACAAATATTTACCAGAATACCAAAATGCATCTTTAACCTTCGAATCGTCTTGATATGCTTCATCGTGTCATGTATTTTGAACAGTTTATATTTAAGAAAAAACAGTAGATTTACTATAGTTTTACCATAACACATATTGAATAATTTAATAGATTTATTTTGCAAGGCTCGACGTGTTTTAAAAAACCCATTGGTCACTTTTTGATGTCGCATGGTTTGTCATACGATTGATTTTCAAGATTTCCTTTTGCATTCTTTTGAAAATAGGACTATGTCATAACTAAAACCCATTTCTTTTAAGTTCAGAAGATTTGATCTAAGTTTTGACCCTTTGATTTCGACATTTGTAAACGAATAAACCCATTTTTCACTCGACTGTTCAATGGCGTTTAAAATTTAGATTGCTGATTCTGATGTAACCATAACTAATATTTCAATATCTAATTTCAGACTAGTAATTAATTGTATTTGAATATATTTTCAAGTTCTACCGTATTATGAGTTTAAACGTATATCGTACCACTTGGTTTATGATTGATTTCCAGTCATTAATAATCAAAGATTTCTAATGACAGTGATTTGTTTTTCTTTATGGTTAGGTTGTTGCGAAGTCTACACAGATTGACGATATTAGTGGTCAAGGTCGACTGCTTTCCTCCGTAAATAAGTGTCTTGAATATAGTTCATCAGAACAAGTATTGTTAGATGATGACAATGAATTTGATGGGACGAGGATTTCCAATATATTAGAAAATAATGAAAATCTATTTGATACTGTAGCTACGGCTGACAACAGTGCATACAGTAACAAAATGACACGGATCGTTGGGGAAACTAATAAAAACGACGTAAGCAACCGACCATATTCACCTTGTGAATCTACAACATCAGCAAGCGAAGGAAGTGAAGATATTGAACCGTTTCCTCCTCCACCATCTGCTGAAGTGTTGGCTGAAGTGATTGAAGAAGAGGCAGGTCCTAATATAGAAGTTGTTGAGGAAGAAGAGGAAGAAGAAGAAGAAGAAAATGACGAAGATGATGATTGTGAAGAAAACAGAAGAAAATCGAGTTCTGTTTCTACTGTTATAGAAGTTTCTTTACCTGTTACTGCATCTGTTTCTACAACACAAACTTTTGATGATAATAAAACGACCGACAATAAACCAGAATTTTCAAATGAAGAAATCAGAGATGATCCACTTATCGTAGATGAGCCAAACAAAGATGATACAGCGATATCTGAATCTGTAAAAAGTATTGTGAATGCAGAATCTAGCATTGTTGTATGTAAGTGAATGGGATATAGTTGAAAAACAAATAATATCTAACAATTTTCTTTATTTTTTAATTTTATAGAAAACTGGGATAATTGATTAGGCGTGTATACTACTAATAATTGCTTGTATGAGGCATGATTCCTGAAATAGCTGAAAGTATATGAATTGCTTCAGTCTTTTCCGATATGATTATATTATATGTTAATTTTCATTCCCCAGATTACATTTTATATAGTTACAATTGTATACCCAATTTTCAGGTTGTTGGATTAGCATGCATATATATGAAGTGACCAATCTTGAAAGTTTAAAGCTCGCACTCTACTATACTTTGATATAGCTCTTATCATTATTCTGATCAGCAATGATACAGACTATTATACTGACATATTGCCTTTCATTATTCTATTGGACAGGTATATTTGAGTTCACATGAAAACCCAAGTTATAATATCAACATTTCAAATTTTATTATGTTTTAATTCATTTACAAGTAACTCTACTTGATAACTGCAAACACATATGTGTACATAGTAATATCGTTTTATTATAATATCCATAAAGAATGATGGGTTTAGCATAACAGTAATCATAACATATATATCTATGATGTAAGTCTCAAACTGTTCAAAATGTTTTACTTCGTGGTGTGATATTTTGAGGTTTACATCTAACTCTAAGTTAGAATGAAAGACCATAAGGGACTGCATTTCAAATTGCTGCTAGAGTATTATAGTGAAGTAGTAAATTGAAATGCTATAATCTGTTCACATGCTGATACCTTATTGACTGTAATTTGTTTTGGAAAATAACCACACTTCATTAACCAGCTTAACCTTGATTCGATTATCAGAGTTAGCTATTTTATTTAATAATACGTTCTTTCTACTTAATATAATAGTACTTACTTACGCCTGTTACTCCTCGTGAAGGAGCATAGGCCGCTCACCAGCATTCTCCATCCAACCCTGTCCTGGGCAATCCTTTCTAGCTCCGTCCAGTTGTAATTCATCCTTTTCATATCTGCTTCTATAATCCGACGCAATGTGTTCTTTGGCCTTTCTCTTTTCCGCTTCCCTTCAGGGTTCCAAATTAGGGCTTGCCTCGTGATGCAGTTTGACGATTTGCGTAATGTATGTCCTATCCATTTCCATCGTCTTTTCCTAATTTCTTCTTCAGCTGGAAGTCGGTTTGTTCTCTCCCACAGAAGGCTATTGCTGATGGTATCCGGCCAATGGATGTTGAGTATCTTGCGTAGACAGCTATTTATAAATATTTGTACCTTCTTGATGGTGGTTGTTGTAGTTCTCTAATTTTCAGCTCCATACAGTAGAACTGCCTTGACGTTCGTATTGAACATTGTGACTTTGATATTGGTTGAAAGTTGTTTTGATTTCCATATGTTCTTCAACTGAAGGAATGCGACTGTAGCTCTTATAGAGTTACTGCCGGTCCCAAGCCCGGGTAAAAGAGGGGGGTTGGGCATGGGGTTAGCGTCCCCATCCCGTAGAAAACTAACTCGCTAAAAAAACGCTTACCAGAAAAAATAATTCAAATATAATAGTACTTCCACATTAATTCATTTCTGTATTGTCTGTTATAAGTCCCACACTCTTCTATTAACTGGTTAAAAAATATCTGTATCAATCTGCAACATAAACATGATAGTCTAATCAGCTGTGATATTATTGTGATTTATTTATCTTGTCCAATATCTTTTCTGAAATGTATAAAAGTTTAAATATTTAAAATAAATACCAAGATATTGGAAATAGTTACTATCAAAATTGAAACTATCAAAGGACATCTATCTCGGAAACAAGTGCGTGTGACTGTGTTAAGAAAAGGGGTGATTATAAACATCGAACGTGTATGGCATTGATAAAGGAAAACATGTTTGAAATAATAAAGAAAATATTCTGTTTAGAAACATTTACATTTATGACCCGTATATTCATTTTCTAAACATATAGGTGAATATGAATGTGATACATCAATCTTGAATCTATCGATCTCATAAATTTACAATTTTTGACTGTTCAAAAGTTTTGATCTAAAAAGCGTAATGTACTAAGTTCTAAGAATTTATCAAATCATACAAAAATTTTGTAGTTACATTGAATAAGAAAAAGAGAATTCAGCAAAGAGAATTTTCTTTTCGACGAAATCATTTACTTAAGCTGTACATTCGTATATATAGTTATATGGAAAATGTATGTCTATAGGACGATAGAAAAAATTGCATCACAAAAATGAATTCGAGGAGAAATAACAAATGAGATTACGTACTAATCAAGGGGTAAGGAAGAAAATCGTTTATGGGTCAGATAATAGTTCAATTGACAAATATGAAGAAAAGTGATAAACACAAAGGTCATAATCATAAACTGAATAATAGTCAGGAAAACTTGTATAAAGTAGTAATATTAATAACTGATTAGAGTTTAAAATACAAAACACTAATTTAAAAAAATTCGTTAGTAATCAAATAAAAGTGCAGAAAAAACAAGAAAAAAAGCAAACACACCCATTATGGGAATTAGGGTTAAGGAAGGATGACAGGTTGAACGAATCGTTACTGCACGCAGAGTTCGGGCTTGAGTTCGTGGATTGCCAGTACCTCAGCAGTGCATAAAATATTGATTCGACACCCCTTCGATCCAATTCCTTAGACTCTATAGATCAATTTAAAAGAAGAATCCTTGGGAGCGACGTGTCCAAAATTGATTAAATGCTCCTGTATAGAACTAGTGATTGTCTTACACTCTCCTTTTAAAAGCCAAGCCGGTTAGTATTCTGAGATGCGTTTGGAAAGTGGTCTCTTTGTTCGGCCTATGTAACGTGCCCCGCACGAGCAAGTAAATTCATAAATACACATTGATGTGGCCCAAAGCGGAAGTTTATCTTTAAGACATACAAGAATAGTAGGCCGGCTTGAGAGAAGAAGTCGGAGCTTAGCTGTGTAGAAAGTTTTATTCAATGATTTTGAAATCCGTTTATTTAAGATTTCAGCAGCCGTGTCTCCTTTAAATTCTATATTCATGAACAAGGTTTTCATCTGTACTGTCGATATTTTCTCATGATGAATTCTGGGTGTTAAGTTACTATCGACGAATCTAGGTGGATAACCGTTTCTGATGGTTATCGAATTTTCTAAATTAGTGTTTTGCATTTTAAACTCTAATCAGTTATTAATATTATTACCTTATACAAGTTTACTTGATTATTATTCAGTTTATGATTATGACCTTTGTGTTTGTCGCTTTTCTTCATATTTATCAATTGGACTATTATCTGACCCATAAACAATTTTCTTCCTTACCCCTTGATTAGTATGTAACCTCATTTGTTATTTCTCCCCGAATTCATTTTTGTGATGCAATTTTTCCTGTCGTCCTATAGACATACATTTTCCATATAACTGTATATACGAATGTACAGCTTGAGTAAATGATTTCGTCGAAAAGAAAATTCTCTTTGCTGAATTCTCTTTTTCTTATTCAATGTTACCATAGGTTATTTTAATTATTTTGTAGTCACCTTATTATTTCAAAGGATTTTTACGTACATAAACTGAATAAGTTTACAATTTCCTTCAATAGCAAATATCAGTAGATTATGGTTAGTTCAGTAATTTCACTCTGATGTTTGTAATATACTAAAGTAAAACGTATACATGTAGTTTAATGGTTAATTCAGCTGATTTGTACTTTATAATGTATGCTAGAATTTTAGAAAGCTATTAAACGTATATTTCACTGGCTGAAATCATGAGTTAATTGAAGCTAGACCACCATGGAAAACCTGGAAGCACTGGACGGCCGTTTCGTCCAGTACGATCCCGCCTCCCCGCGAGATTTGAACCCAGGACCTATCAGTCTCGCTCCAGGCGCTTAACTAACTAGACCACTGAGCTGGCCGACATCCAACAGTGTTAGTGGTCTAGTTTCAATTGACTCATGATTTCAACCAGTGAAATTTCTAAAATCTCCACAAAACCCATTCCGATGAACGTATATTTATTCAACAATTTTTGAATCTGATTCTGATTAAATAATAATCCATGAAATACGTCTACTAATTACTCCCGTTTTTGTTTTTCGGTATTTTTTAAACACTAAAATCTATTAATTGTAATAAATGTTTTCATTTTAGCTACTCAAACAAATCAAACTGAAGTTGATGGAAACTTAACTGTAGAAGAATCATCATCAACAAATCAAAATGTAGAAATGAGTTTATCACTAGAATAAAATTGTAAACAATAACATATTCACATAGATATTAACTATAATTCATCATGTTTTATATCAATGAAATAGAAGAAAAAAACAACCCCCGCTTATATAATCTCTATATAGTAATATCAATATAATAATAATAATAAATTTATTCCAATTCATTTTCTCATTTCTATTCTGTTTACATTTTTATTTTTTAGAGAAAAAAGAAAGATTGTTATAGTTCATCTATAAAATAATTTAAATTATGTTTACCTATTTTGTTAATTGTTGTTACAATTCAACGTTTTGAAAGTATTATATGTTGTGTTAAGTATTCATTTTAGTTTCATATTAGTTTAAGTTTTTATTAATTTCTATTAGCTTTCATATAACATTAAAGCTTATACTGTTGTTATTGTTACTGTTCTATTATTAATACTATTATTATTGTTATTATTACTACTACTACTACTTAAATCATTATTATTAAACTTACTTCCATGATTGTTACTAATACTGCTGTTGGTAGTTATTGCTTTACGCTTTAACTACTTCTTTTAATAATGGGTGAACATTAATTCCATGTTTTTTTATAGATTAGATTTCATTTTCTCTTGTTTTAATTTTATTCTTTTTGTTGTTGATCTATTTTTAAGTTGTGGTCATTTTCTTATTGTTGTAAACTGTAGGTATGGTTTCTTTTCTTTTTTGGTATATTGCCAAAATGAAATGAAATGGTTTAGTTTTATTATCGTTTTCTAAATTAACTACTATTAAGCAGTTTTATGTTCTCATTGTGTACACTTGATATAAATTCTTCTTTTTTTTAGTGTGAAAGCAGAGATAATTGAAATAAAAGTTTAGTATATTGTATAGCAGGCAACTAAACAGAGCACGAAAGAAAAGACAAATAAATAAGATGATCTTTTCAGTTTGTTTGCTTTACCCTTTTATCACTTTTATGCGTATCTATGTATGTTTGATTTATCATTATATTTGAGCTGCTTGTTTTCTATTCTTGACTCCTTTTCTACCATTTTCAAATAAAGTTCGGTAAGAATGTTCTATTCATAACAAAACATCGTTGTTTATTTAAAAAAGAAAAGAGAATTAACTAGAATTGTTAATGTGTATTTCCGCTTTCATTTCCACCCCTCTCTACCTCCATTCTATTCCAATGATAGTTTATTCACACTTTTTTGTCATAATTTTCTGTTTATTTTTTAACCATTTGTTTGTTTGTTCGCTTGTTTGTTTATCCATAATTTTAATAGTATTTGGTGTGTATCAAAATAATAAGTAGGGAAGATATTTACAATATTGTATTTTTGAGATGTTGTTGCTATCAATAGACAAGAAAATCACATGATAACTACGATACTTGTTTACAGGTAGTAGATATATAATATATGTGTCAGACGAATACCTGATCAAAAAATGTATCGTTCATTCATTTCAATTAAAAAGTAGTGTTGCATTTGTAAATATTGGTAATAATAATAATAATGATAATCGTGACCTATAATAATCCGTGTCATCATTCCTTTTCACTTCTAACTTCGAAGGAACTCATACCATTATTTTTGCAAGAGTATATCTCACCAATCTGTTAAAGTCGGTTTAACAAGTGTTAAAACAAAAAGAAATATGTAAATTGCAAGGTATGTGATCAATCACTTGACTTGATCGTGATCGGATGATGCTTGTTAACAAATCATGATTATCGATAAAATCTTACAATAAGTGAATAGTAGAATATAAATAGCATAACTGATCAGCTGAAATAAATCACTTCATATAACAAAATAATGTACTTTAAAAACAAAAATTTCACACAAATTAACATGATGAAAATTCATCTAAAATTTCAATGAGTGTTCTATACTGATCTTATGGGTTAACAGGGAATCTATAAAGTCAAAACATGTTAGTCAATAGTACTTGTTGATCTCTATATTACCTCATTAAATATTGTGTGATATCTAGGGAATAAAATTAACATGCTAACCTTCCTGAAGTTTTCCTCATTTGTATTCTTACAGTTTAATCAGCTTTTCCAGTTGCAGGAAGAGAAGTTGGTGATACTGTGACGTAATTTCCTTCTTGCTATTGTATAAATGCTCTTGTAATTAATTACGCATCATTATACTTCTTTCTCACTTTCCTGATTTGGTCTTATACTTGATTTGTGACTTGCTAAATATGAAGATATATTTTTACTTGAACGTTCTGCTATGATTGAATACGCTGAAATTTGACAACCACTTCGGAAACAGTATGAATGAGCAAAGCGAGAAAACAACACTTCAGAGAGTGATAAAATGTTAACAGCTCATCAACCTCAAGCAAAATTAATAATTTCAGTTATTGTTATACATTGGTTTTAGGAATCATTTATGTACCTATGGAATTAAAGCGTGATTATCAGGCATACTTGTTGACCATAATATTAATTAACTGTAGATTCAAAAACGCTTACACTAACAGATATTACTCAACGTAACGAAAATGTGGGTAATTTATCATTTATCTCCAGCAAGTAATTACGTAAACATAACTAATTTTACATTCATCCCAAGTAACTGATCTTACCTATTCTTTAAAGACCACATAGTAGAAATAAACAAAATTAGGAAAATCGATTTTGGAAGATCAATTGTTACTTAATTACGCTTGTTACCACTCACGGAGGAGTATAGGCCACCCATCACCATTCTCCATCCAACCCTGTCATGGATAATCCCTTCCAGTTATTTACACTTGCTATTCATTCTTCTGATGTCTACCTCCAATCTCCGGTGCAGTGTGTCTCTTCATCTTCCTTTCCCTCTACATTCACGATTCCAAGTTAGCACTTGCATCGTGATGCAGTTTGGTGAGTTCCGTGTTGTATGTCCTATATCCACCTCCAGCATCTCCCACCTAAATTCATCTTCAACTGGGAGCTGGTGTGTTCTCTCCTACAGTAGGCTGTTGTTGATGGTATTCGATGAACGGACATTGGGTATCCTGTGTAGACGATTGTTTACAGATACTTGTACATTTTTGATGATGGTTGTAGTAGTTCTCCGAGTTTCAGTTCCGTGTGGTAGAACTGTCTTGACGTTCGTATTGAAGATTGTGATGTTGGTGTTGATTGACAGTTGTTTTGAGTTCCATATGTTCTTCAATTGTGAGAACGCTGTTCTTACTATGGCAATCCTTACTTTTATTTCTGGTCGAATCATCCTTGTTCATTGATGATGCTTCTACCCAAGTGTGTGAAGGTTTCCTCTTCTTCTCGAGTTTCTTCATCATGTGTGATTGGGTTGGAGTTTTCCGTGTTGTGTTTGAGGATGTTGCTTTTTCCCTTGTGTATGTTGAGACTTACTGATGCGTAGACTGCTGTTACGATTGTTTTCTTGACCTCGATTTGTTTGTGTGTATGCGATAGGAAGGCTAGTTCATCTGTGAAGTCGAGATCGTCTAGTTACATGCAAGCTGTTCATTAAGATCAATATTCAAACAATTTATTATAGTTTGATAAAATGAAATTAAGGGTAAGTCACTTTTTCATCACAACAATCTAGAAACTTTATGAAATTTAAATCAAATGTACGAGAACTAGTTTGTTTGTCTAATTTTAAAAGAATAATAAAACATTTTCACAAGATCTTTACTATACAATATGAGTTCCTTTGAAAATTACTAAAATATTTACACAATTATAGTCCCTTCAACAATATTTCATCCAATATCCAAATTACAAAACAATAAACTTTAAATCATGCAAATGAAGTATTTTCATTGTCTACCGTGAATATTATTTCCAGCAAACTAAACTATTTTACTGGAAATATTTTTTTTTCCGCAAATTTTTTGTCACCCAACTTAACCTTATATTCTAGAAACCTATGCAAAAAATCTAAGTCACTAGTTTTCAATTTCAGGTATATGGAAATCTGGTAACATCTTTATTTGATAAATTTTAATGTTAGTTATTAACCTGAATAGAAGAATAGTAAAAAAAAACTGTGCAGTTGTTATTTTTTTTACAAAATAAATAAATCTACTGTTATACTTTTATTATACAAGCCATGTAATAATCAAATGTTTCTGTTCGTCACATCTTCAGAAACGTAGAAATATTCTTCCTAATTACTTTATCGACGGTTGTAAAAATAGAACAATGATCAATTGAATAGTAAATTCCGAAATTTCTTCTTGATTTATGTATAATAGTATATACCATCTTCTTTATAACAACTACATTGATTGAGATTCAGCTTCTAAGGAAAAATCTGATGAAAGAAGTTTTGCGCCGGAAATAAAGTCATTTCCAAAGGCATGTTCACTTACGTAAGCATGTATTACAGAGCAAAAACCTATTTGTAATAATATCAAATCGAATAGTTTTGAGCTGAATAATCTATATACTCAGCTTTCATCATGATATACGGCGTGAGCAATAAATTCATTTACTGGAGAACTTTTTGAACTATTCAATAAGTCTTGAATTATTATTTGATAGTGGTTTCAAATGTAGCCAGTGATCGGAAGCCTTTGTTAGAGAGATCCAGACAACTCAATAAAGCCAGGGAAAGCTCTATAAACGCTGAGAAACATCTTATCTAATCAGCATTCAATAGAAGTTTTGCCAGGAACATCTAGAAAGTTACAAGTCACATGTTGCGTTTCTGAATGGATGGTTACATAAACTGCAAGAATGTTTAGTAGCGTTCCAGAATTTTGCAAGAGCCAAAGGCCAACTAAAATGTTATAAACACCTTGGTTTTCTGTTCATAAATGAACTTTGGAATAGGGCGTTTCTTCCATATTTCGCGCCTTTTCTTCCGTGTTCAACTCGCTGTGTAGATTTAGCTTGAGGGTTATTGAAAGAGCTTAGGAACCGAATCTAGCGTTCATTTAGAAGACTTATCAGCCTTGCTTTTTTTATCTGCCGAAGATTTGGGATTGACTGTCTTGTTTTATTAACTACCGATTTTATAGTTGGATTTTTCTCTGGGTTGATAGATAACATCGTGGTTTGA